GCAGGAAGACTTTTTCGATGCTGCGGGGAAAAACACACCAGGCCACCTATCCCAAGGAGTTGTCGATCGACAGCGGAAACGCGAGCAACAGACCTGGAGGGGTTACCAGCAAACTCACACTGTATGCGGAAACTTTGAGGCAGAGCCGCTCCGACGAGAGGAACAAGAGCTGCAAGGAGTCATCCAGCGGGAGGAAGTCGGGAGTCAAGCTGTCACATTCGTCTCAGGCTTCCACTACAAGAGGAGAAGATGATCGACAGAATGCAGCAACTTTGCTGGAAAAATCCTCAATGTTGTCCAAAAATCAAGTCCGACCTTTCCGACTGTGGCTTCGAGAAGACTGTCGAGCCTAGGGATCAGGGCATTTTTAGTGAGAGTGGCCCCAAAAACAGACTGGGTGAACGTTAGGGCGCAAAGTCCTCGCTGGTGAGAGATTTCCGAGAGAAAGGAACGAGGCAGATGACGCCGGAAAAGAGGAAAGGTTAATTTAAATGTATTTTCTTGAAGTCGGCTTATCCAGGGATATGAGAGTCCGACTTTATTGCATTTCGTTGAGCTGCAGTACGTTGTGTTGGCAAGCTTAAATTTACCTCGCTTCACGGTAGAGTCTCCGGGGTGAAGTAGAATGCGGCACCGCTAAAAGAAAAGGCTAATGGCCTATGCTGGAGCTTCTAAGACGTGAGCGAGCTCCATGATCGGATGGTACAAATTTATTCGTTTTTGTTTTCGTTTCCAATCCTTGGATGTTACCATTTTGATTTTGTGACTGTGTTTTTATTTCAAAGCGCGCTACCGTAACATTCGTTTGTGTTTGCCAGGTTTAAGGCATGTTTTACTTTAAGGGGCTTAGTGACAGCCTGAGCTGGAGTGTCGAGTGAGGGATATTTTAGGTAGTAGGTGTAAGGTTGTCTTCATTTTTTGTTTGGTTTAGCGGATAGGGGAAGGGGTAAAGCGAAGCACTTGCCGGTGCTGGGATCGTGACTAGCTATGTTTGTCTCGCCAATGCCTTCCTCTTGCAACCTGAGTTGAGATCCGCTACTCCGGAGATTTTGGACCCGGCCCTCGCGTACGTCTCAAGGCAGGCGACGAACACCGGATCCTTTCCCCATACATCATACATCAAGGCACTATTCAAGTCAGCACAGCAGTGTTGGACTGCTGCCCTTCTGATGGGCTGATTGGCGGCGGAAGTGTTGTTACGATAGGCCTTGGTCAAGGCCTCGTCCCTTCCTTCGCCAATCCCACTCCCCCCCCCCCCCCCCTTCTTTGTCCGCCCGATGGGGTTTAGCCACCCCATTGAGGGTCGGCGACCGGCCGTCTGAGCCGTCGTTGACCGACAACGTCGCTCGGCGCCGTGTCGACATCGCCACACCTGGGCGCTGAGCTGAGCTGGACTGTTCCTCCTGGCTGTGATTCCATTGGCCCGAGGCAGGGGTCAGTCGACGCAGGAACCGGGTGGATTGCCGAGCGAAGATTGCGAGTGACGACGCCGGCTGCGGGACTTCCGGGAGGGTTCGTTCGGTTCGGGTTGTCGTCTGGCGCCACTTGCGGATTGTCCCGCCAAACCCTTTCCTGAGCCGTGACGCCGCCTAATTGAGGGATCATCACCATAACGGTCAACATCTCACGGGCTGACAGTGGACCCTCCGTCGTCGACTCCTCGGCGCGGCTTATCGCGGGCGGGAGTGCCTCGATGCCAGAATATGAAACCCGTCCGCAACTGCAGTATGCGTGTGTGTGTCCGTGCTCAAGGGGATGAGTGGGGCCAGATCCTGGACATGACGTTTGTTGGCAGCTTGGCCACCATTGGCCGCCAACCACTGGAGTACCGAAAAGCGACCCGATAAAAGGAGCGAACAATAGGTCGCGAGGGTACTTTCAAACGATTTAGATACTTCTTTATATATGTAATTAAACAGAGTTCAACGTGAGAGACCCTCCCGTCTCCTGGTGTTCCTGCCGGAGTCGTCCTGCGGTTCCGGTCCTGGCCTGGCCCTGCCTAAGGCTGCCTCAGGAACTCCTCGGTCCCAACAATCATATGACATAATCTCCCGGTTTGCTTTTTTCCGTGGATTTCGCATGATCTGGAAAGCAATATCGTTCGTTTTGTTTATTATTTGTTAAAAAATAAGTTTTAATATATATGTAAGGGGGCTCTTATATGAATTGTAGCTCGGTTTCGGAGTCGAATTGTTAGTTTTGGTACCAGAAATACTACATATTTTCGAAGCACTCGTCCGATGAAAGAGCGAGCAAACGGCAAGCTTTGTGGATATTTTTTTTCCAGTTAATATGCCATTGAAGCGGGCAATGTGAAAACTGACGTTCCTCCCACCTGTTGGGAATCACATCTGTGACTACTTGCTATTTTTTCATTGCTCAAAACACTTCAATAAATTCATTTTGTGACAGTCTAAAGCATTTTTATTATGCTTATTGAACTGAAAAAAAATATATGTTCAATTTCTAGGAAGGTTCGATTGATGATTTCTGATCCGTTGATGAGTTCTGGCAAAGCTTGGCACGCTCATACCTGTGATTTATTTGGTCTTGTAATGATTTTGTCATCACCACACATTTAAAAAAGTTGTTTTCATTTAATTTAAATGTAGTACTATATGAAAGGAAAATATGATATATATATTTCAATGAACGAGTATTTCGAAAATCTAACAAATTTCAAATCAATTTTGAAAAATAAATAAATATTTGCTTTATGTTTCATTTGTAGTAAAATGTAAGGGTTTTTATAAGAAAAAAACAAAAAAATAGCATTTTGTTTAATTAGAACCAAAAGACGAATCTTGGCAGTTCGTTGTGACTGCGTCTTCAAAAAGGTGCTATTTCGCCATTTGTACGGCATGGATAAGGTTAATTCTCTAATTTTGACACTTTACTTAACATGCAAGCTTAAATATAAGGAAAGATGTGCGTAATGCAGAGTAAACGTTATTTTGGTCCGCCGTGAAACGCCGTTTTTCCACACAGACCTGACAGGAATCAAGCTTTAATTACGATCATATCTAAACTACTATATAAAATGTTTAGTTTTTTTGTACCACGTGACTGAATCTTGTGGGTGCTGCCGTAGAGTTCGTGTAACCAGTTTGTGATGGAATGACTGTGTATGGCTGTATAGCACCTGCAAATCATCTCCGACTGAAATGTATTCGAAACTCCCTGAAGCGTATTCAAAACTCCGGGGCGGTAGTTCCAAGATGGCGGAAGAGACGTGGATGCATTTTCCAGGACTGTTCGTGCGCCTGCTCGCTGATGCTGGTCAGCGAGTTTAAATTATTTATTTGAATACAAATGCGAAGCTATCAGGGCATGAGCATGTCACAGGTGAAGGAGATGTTGACGTCGTTAGGAAAACGAGCATGTTAGTTTTGAAAAGGTGCGGAAACTACAGTTCCATGTTAAATTCTAAAAGCTGCGAAGCGCTTTTGGGGCACCGGCCTCGTTATTGTGTGTGGCAAAAGATTCTTGATTTTGATGTACATATTCTGGTGTTTGCACTGTACCTGGTCACCGGTGCTCTATAAGTGACCCGCAAAGATTGTTCGTCGAAGCGCGGAGGACCAATTGCTTCACATTGATTTCTTTGTGCCGGAGGCTCAAAACTCGGTGCACACCGTCGCGATTATAGTGCATTGCAACACCACGTTATCGACCTGCACCATGGTTACTAGTAGACCTTTTTAGTGTAGCCTGAACGCAGGCTACCGTACGATGCGACATTGCAACCGGATTCTTGCGCTGCAACTTTGAAACATGATTTGCAGCGCGTGACAGGAGCGCTTCCGTGTCCATGGTATACTGTTGTAACGCTCTGCAAGAACTGCATCCTAAGCGCAATTGAGGTTTTTATGTATTTCTTTAAAAAGAAATATTAGAATATTTTTATAGTACGCCTGTGTACCGTGTTATTCCAAGTGTCACCACCTGCCTCGCCAAAACTGCCGGTTCTAAGTAGTAGTCAGGAACTGCTGGCTTACACAGACGCGCTTAAAAATGCTGCAAGTTTTTTTTGTTTTTTTTATCCGCAATTTGTCTTTTGGAATTGCTCGGAGCGAATGGCCGAATTCCGTGTCACTGCCTTTCGCCAAGTAAAACGTGAACAGATTCCTATTTTCAATCGCTCGACACACCGATGAGCGAAGAGTTCTTTTCTACTTTTGGGAAAGAATAGATTTCTAGATTTCTAGCATATTGTGAGGAATAGCTTTTCAGTACAGCGGGAGCTTTTGTCGCCACGTTGAGCACAGATTGAGCTGGCGACCGCAGGACCCAAAATCTATAGCCTATGGGATCTACGAAACTCTCTAATTAAATTAGACATCTTCCCTGTCCCTTTATACAACGCTCTTACGAAGCGGAATGCCACAGTTATAATTTGCACACGTTTTGTGTTTTCTTTTTGTTAAAACTGCATGGTGTACGAACAGGACGGCCAAAAACCACCTGGTAATAGCAGCACCAAATCTGTCACTCCCGGCTACCATCTGTGCAGCCGTCCCCGCTCCTCTGCTTTTTCGTTCGTCCTCAAGAGGGCGAGCGGAGGGCTGGAGCTGGGAATGCCGCGTCCTAAAAAGTGATCCTTCGATCTCCGCCTGATGACGTCATAGAAGTGCCATCCTGTGGCCGGTCGCTATCCTGGTGGCGTCACAGCAGCGAAGGTGGATGTAGCAGATGCCTTGACTGCCGCAGTTCGCTCTCCAACGTGACAGTCCACGGAAGCTTCAGCAGCCACGAACCTCAACTTCGTGACGACAGCGACACTCGCGATGGCTAGTATACTTTTTGCCGGAAATTTTAGCACCAACCGCCAGGATCGCGACCTCCGACAACATGACAGGCCCGTTTCCGTGTCGTCACATATGTTGCCACATAGGGAGCCTTTCTTGGTGTATGGGCGGAATTGGACGATAAACAAACCAGTCGATAAAGCGTTCCAGGAGCCGTCGTAACAAAAACTGGGGTGTGTTTGTCGCCAGCTCATGGAACAGCTGGAGAGCTGGGAAGGAGGTCCCCAGCTGGTAAACCCGGAGCAACCCTGGCTGCGACCGCGAGTGCCCAGGGACGTGCTGTTCGTGATCGGCGGCTGGAGCAACGGCAGTGCCATCAACCTCATTGAGACGTACGACTGCCGGGCCGACCGATGGCTCATCTTTTCCAGCGACACTGGGGTCAAGCCGAGGTAACTTACATTGAGCATCCATTTGTTCTGCATACAACATGGCACTAATCGTGTGCTATGCGAGGCCGTTTTCTTTATTTTATATGATTTAATTTAGAAAAAGACAACTACCATCTAGCTAAAACAATTAACCTAAACGTCGATGTGAAAGCATTGGAGGTAGTTGTTACAACAACAGAAAATAGCTTCAAAATAATTTATATCTTACTCAAATCGATTTGCTTTTGCGCCGCTCTACAAGTCCGGTTTATTGCGGTGTAGGACTAATATGTTACAGGGGCCTCACAGGTTTAGAGAGTGCATTGAGTGAACTATTGAGAATAGGACGTGGATCCACAACTCTCGCGTAATCAACCGGCGAGACATTTCTAAAGCGTTCGCAAGTTCACAATTGGGCAATGTTTTTGTGCCAACGTCTCACCAAACATACAAATAGCGAGAGAGGTCTCGTGGCCTTTGATGTGCTTCCCCTAAGTATGCCTTCGTTCACAAGCTCATATCAGCGTCTCTACGGCAGGAGAATAATTTGAGATTTGAAAACAGGCGGGTTGCCAGTAGTTTGCAACATGATATAGCAAACGATCACAGCTTCAGCGAGCGTACGATCTTACTTTGCCGCGGCGCTCATTTCTTAACCGACAATTACCTTTTTTTAGGTATGTAATACCCCTGTTACACGGGCACACTTAACCGCGGTTAACTCAACTTAACTGCTGTTTCGCGGCACCACAGATACCGCACTATACTCTCTGACAGCTATATCAGAAGAAGTGAAGAGCGCGAGCGCACTGCTTCGATAGATGCTCAAGATGCTCGAGCGCACGTTCGCTCATAGCTTTGACTGCATAGCCGCAGAATGTTGTCCGCAAGTATTGTGCGCTATCTGTGGCTTAGCGTAACTGCAGTTAAATGTGCCCGTGTAACAAGGGTATTAGAAGGCGACAGACCGTGATTTTCTTGTTTTATTATCGTTCGCCAATGGCACTTCGTAGAACGCTCGCGGTAACGCGAGCGTTCTTCGCTCGCGTTACCAGACGTCTACTAGCCTCCTACATACTCGCATAGCCTGGCAGTTCAACGACGGAGTCATAGAGTTCCCAGTCGCAGATTTGGAGAACGAGCGTCTGGTAGCTCAGAGCATCAAAGAGCCGTTTCTCGAGGAACCTGGACGTCAGGGCACAGCTTTTGCAGCCACGAGGAACTGAAAAAAAACACTTGTTCGCTCGGGAGAAGTGTATTTCGGCGTCTCGCCGCAGCAGGGCGCCAGTCACGTGGCTCTCCTCTAATCCGTTGTCTGCCGCTCCACCTTTTCCATTTCAGCTGCCGCTTCTCGTGGCAATCTGCCAGGCTTTTTCAGTGTATAGGAGGCTATGCTGCTGCCAATACCACAATCACGAGCCTCTAGGTCACTCCTTGGAAGCGTTCTACCGCAGAACGAGCAATGACGCTAGAAATGAACGTCCCAAAGCCAGGAACGCGGACAAGCTTGCACTTGTAGCTTTGGCTGTAGTATCAGCTTAACAGTGAAAAGACCATAGCTCGCTCTGCGAGAGGCAAATTAGATCTCGCCCTCGCCCTCGCGGTGACCAAATACAAACCTCTGGTGGTGGGGCACTCGTGCATGCACGTACAGCTTGCGCGTGAAGCAATCTTTGCCAGGATTCCCATTTTACGTGAGTTGAATCGCGGCGGCAGATCATTCAGTTGTCATGATTCTAGAAAATCCTTCAATACGCTTTTGGTGACGGCGCTTTGATCCGTTTTTACTCCAGTAATAAACATACTTATGAACAGTGCCCTCGTGTCTACTTTTTTGCAGGAAATATGTGGAAGAGTCAATTACAGCGTTATGCATAAGAAATGTAGCAATTTCTTGTGAAGACGTCATTTCTGTCGAGTAAATCGATGGCATCTTTCTGTGGATTGCGGCGATGGCATATTCGCGTTCTCCGAGGGATAGTGGACCCACAGCCCTTGTTAATAGACTTTGTCTATTACTCGAGTAAACGCGGTATGTACAACACGGAGACTAACCGCGCCGCGGTGTGGCGTCAACATGGGGACACATACCACCAATGTATACTTCGTCTCACCCTACGATGGACTAAATGCAAAAGCTATGGACCGCCAGGTCCAATCACGTGTCACAAAGAAATTGCGTGGTACTGCGCTTCGATGAGCCTATCCGTGCCCACGTCTCGGATCACTGCTGGGGATGGGCGGAGGGTGGTTCGAATCGAATAGAGCTAAGTGACTCATCAGTTTTTCATTGCAAAGAAAACCACGACATTCAAGCTCTTTGCACTGTCGAAGCTATAAACATGATGCAGCGCTTTTTGATTCGGAAGATTATTTGTCCACCTATGATCAGTGTTAAGCATGCCATAGTTTAGCGTGGAACGTGATTGGACCTGGCGGACTGTGGCTTTGGCCTTTAGTCCATCGTACGATGAGACAAAGCATAGCAGCCATTGTTGAGATTTCTGGAACACAATAAGTTGCGTCGGAATTGTTTATCTAATCTAATCGTTAGCGCCTCTTTCATTTCTTCCCGCATCGATCAGTCCTCAAGTTGGCATACGTACCTCATTTTGAAACTTCAACTTACATCGACTCTTTCATTCCCGTTATATGAATGGAACCACCTTTCCGCATCTTTAGTAACAATTAAACGAATTATTTTATTTAGGAGGGCACTAACTACTCACTTATGCTACGGATATGACGGACTAGCTTTTATAACCAAGTTGCCTTCTTTCGTCATCTTGTAAACCCTGAGATGGGGAACGATAAAAAAACGGACGAACACAACAAAATGTTGTGTTCGTCCGTTTTTTTATCGTTCCCCATCTCAGGGTTTACAAGATTACGATTGATTACCAGCTCGCCTGCACTCTCTCACTGCTTGCCTTCTTTGTTTGAATGTATTACTGAACCTATGATGTAGTTTCACCCTCTCTGCAATGCCCCTGGGCCATGAGAATATTGAAATATAGAAATATTAAAAATAAATAAATAGACTGCTTCCATAACTCTTTCACCGCGCACGTTGCATTCTGGGAACCTGGGGGCCGGGAGCCGAGCGGGTATGGATTTTTCTCCCCAGTGATTCTCATAATTCATAACATAGAAAAACGCCGCAATTAGGCGCTTCGACTTTTGGAATAAATTTATTAGCCACACCTAAAGGGCGGTGACGCGTCATTAGACTGAGAGTGTTTCTCGCTAATGTTATAACTAGAGTCGCTAAATGAGCTGCGCTTAGGGTATCGGCACTCCGTTCCCCGGCATTGTTGTGGGCGCCGCCATTTTGGCTCGTATGCAGAGCAGACGCAACTGCCGATCGTCATGATTCAAAAGTGCGACTTCCTCAGATTTAGATTTGTTGCTAAGAAGGTCACGCAATATTGCTTTGCTCTGTTACGAACTGTTTAAACATTTGTGGAGGGCGGAAAGGCGTTTCCTGTGATTTCAGATAAAGCTTCAGATAACTGGCAACCATGATTTTAAGACACAATATGGCCAAGTGTCGTTACTCTGAAGCGTAGCTTATTTAGTGGCACTAGTTATAACTTCTTTGGCGTTCTACAAGAAATCAAGTTCTCAACTTTTTTTGTTTGGACAGATCTCCTAACGTGATCATAATATTTAATGCCTTCTTTCTCAAATATACATTCCAATACCGCCGCCACAGCCGAACTTCAAGAGAGCGAGTGGCGGCTTTTAGCGGAGACAATACGAACCCTTATTGAACTAGCGCGACCCGTGATGTCGGAGTTTTTTGCAATTATTGCAAAAAACTCCGACGCTGGCAATTGGAACATGGGATTCGAAGCCGGTTATTTCCTCGAACATAATTTCTGGCATTGTGGCAGCGCATGTTTGCTTGGGCCGGAACAAACGCTGGGCTACAAAGCGCAGCAGGCACTCGTATCCTTTTCGATGTGGCTACCAGACTTGTTTTATGCCTAACAATAATCTTTCGTGGTTGTTTTCACACATTCTGCCTGACAGCTGATATCGTTCTTGGCGAGTTATATTGACGAAAATTTCTTTTTTTTTTTTTTTGAAAACGGATTTTTAATGTCTGGAAGATAATTAAAGATGCAATAATACTCTTGTTACACGGCAACACTCTACTGAACTTGCGCTTAACCTCAGTTATCACGCTATACTCGCGGACAACTTTCTGCGTCTCTGCAGTCAAAGCTAGGCGCGCACATGAACTTGAACATCTTGACTGCCCATCAAAGCTGTGCAGGCACACCTTTCACCTACTCTGAAACGGCTATCCGAGAGTATATTGTGGTAACTCTGTGGCGCGTAGCAGTAGTTGAAGGTTACTTAATTAACTACAATTAAGGGGACCATTTTAACATTGGTACGTGCTTTGAGTACCTTATGTCAACTATCAGGGTCGCTAAACTCGTCAAGCACAAAGTTGGGGCCGAAGTTAACGGAGCGCACCGATTGGCCTGTCACGATGACGACTTCGCGCTTTTTTCGCCGACGTCCAATCGGCGCGCTCCGCGAACTGTCTCCTCCTTTGTCTTTCAGGAATTTAGGGCCCCAGGAGAATATTTTTTTTCCGCCGTGGAAATTAGCGGCGCTTATAGAAACCAGTGTGGATGACTTGTTGACGGTAATAAAAATTGCAATTGATTTTTTCCGAGAACACCCATAGGGCTCTGTGTGACAGGGCTTACCACGGCGTGGCGGTGCTGGACGGCCTCATCTACGTGGTGGGCGGCTTCGACGGCACCGAGTGCTTCAACTCGGTCATCTGCATGGAGCCGCAGGAGAACAAATGGTGCGCCAAGTCGTGCATGCATTACGCGCGCTGCTACGTGAGCGTGGCTGTGTTACACGGCTCCTTGTATGCCATGGGCGGCTACGACGGAGAGCGCCGCACGGCCACCACCGAGCGCTACGACCCGGCAGAAAACCAATGGACCCTGGTGGCCGACATGCACGAGGCCCGTAGCGACGCCTGCGCTGCAGTGGCCTTCGACCGTATATACGTGTACGTGTTCATACAAATTCAAGGCGAAAACGCTGAGATTCTTCTGGGTTCTTTATTAGCTTCACAATGGCGTGTGATACTCCGCAGTTGGAAGAAATTCAGCAAATGCATCACCAGGGGTTAATCCAAGATTATAAATCAGGGAAGAGGGCTAGAAATTTCTGGGAGAGGCTCGGGGAGAAGGGGGAGCGTTTTTGTATTATAGAGGGTATCTGGACGCCATACTTGAAGACGAAGTTTAGGGCGCAAGCTCAGAGCGAGCTCACATTCATAGGTCGCAAAGAACAGCAGTCTTGATTTCGCAGAATGCACGTTGAAAAAGAACTGTGGAAGCCCGCCATCAGCACGTGCTCAACAGTCGAGCACACAGCTACGGCCGCCTGTGAATACTTCATAGACATTTCCAAAGAAGGGCCAGTGACCGGATTCATTTTCAGTGTTCGTGCGGCGCGCAATTTGTTCGCTTTGCCAAGCGGCGAACATGCTCGTGCTGGGCTGAGGAGACGTTTCTATAGGTTAGTATGAGCACAACATAAACCCCGGGACTTCAAGCACAAAACGACACGAATACTAAAAGGTCGCTTTTTGCCTTCAGATTCGGGGTTTATGTCATGTTCAATCTAAACCAACTCGTTTGCGCCTTTACATTAACCCGATTAGTATGATTTGTGGAAATTTCAAGGGAGAGTGTGGGGGAGGGTAGAGTAGAATTAGCCTGGGGATGCGTTAGATGAGTGTCTGTGTGTGTGGAGAAAGGGAAGGGGTAGATCACTGATGCAGTAAGTACGAATGCTAATCTGGGTCTTTGACTTTCATCATGCTGCAGTGATCAGTGCTTCATTTATTTAGGGCGCACACCCAAAAGACAACAGTTAAGGCTGGTTCACACACCTGCAACGGTGGCGTTCACGAACAAAACAGAAACATTCAAAAGAGAGGAACAACGGGGACTCATGATTTGCTTCCCTAAACCACCTTTTGTATCGATTGCCACGTTGTGTACTGTGAACACTTGTCCTGGGGGTTTTGTCGTTCCTGTCATTTCGGTTGCTGCGAGCGCAACCAACACAACTGTGTGAACAGGCCTTTACCGGCGTGAATTGAACACCGCAATGATCCTTCGGTTTTGCTACAAATTACATTTTATGTGCTCGCATTTACACAAAACACGTAGGTTGTTAATTCCGGCGAACAACGCAACAATATAAGAAAATGATGAAGCTCAAATTACGAGTGGACCAGAAAAAGACTATCTGTGCATCGATAATGCTCATGACGTTTCATTTGCTGGGTGTCCCCCCTTGTACTTCTTTATGTCTACTCGCGTTCTGAGCGTCGTCATTTGCTCAGATCATATATTTGTCTAAAGCGATTGGCTACCTATGATATGTTCATGAGTGAACGCACACACTCGCCTCACGGTGTCGGTTTCTATCGTAAACGGTGCTGCTGCCATTCCATAATTTACAAGCTGTGATCCGAGCTCCGAAGGTGCCCACGGGGTCATCGCAAAGCTTCGTGCTTCTGGGCGAGCATAAAGGCTATCGGGATGTTAAGGTTTTTCAACTAACTAGGTAGATTCAACAGCGATCCCAGTGATCTTTATGCCTGATCAAGGTGTTTTTGCAGAGTCGGTGGATTTACGGGTCGAGAGGTGCTGAACACCATAGAGTACTACGATCCGACGAATAACACATGGAACGCCATCCGGGCCATGAACAGCCCAAGAAGCGGAGTGAGGGTGATGACCTTTAGGGAACAGCTCTATGTGATCGGTGGCTTCAACGGCACTAACCGTCTTTCCTCGGGTAAGGTCGTCACATCTATACTTTGTTTCGCCTTATGATGTACCGCAGGAAAGGCTACAAGCGCGAGCTCCTTGCTCCGGGGCACATCTCGGCGGCACAAGCTCTCGTGACTTAAGAGCGGCTGCCGACGCTATGAGCTTGCGCTTCTAGCCTTCGCTGCGGTACAACATAAGGTGAAACGAAGTATAAATGTGTGTCATTTTCTGCCTTTTTTCTTTACGCGTGGCTTGTTAGTATTCTCTTGTAATAAACCAAAGCAAAGCTGTCTTCGCAATGCAAAAGTCCTGCACAGATTTTCGAACATAGATGCACATACGCCCCTGTAACGTGAAGTTAAATTTTAAAGCATGCGGTTGTGTTGACTATAGCCTGCAAGAATAAATAACACGGGAAAGAACACCGTGCTTGAAATCTCAAGACATATTTAGTGAAGGACAAGAAAACTAGAATGCAATATTTTAAACCCTCGTCTCCAATTGGTTTTAATTAAATTTTGTTGGGTATTTTTACTTTTGCATAAATATTCGCTGGCACTGGCCGCAATAATATTCTATGTCTTTAGCTCGAATGACCAGAATCGGCATAATTACAGCGCTTGATGCACTATAATATGTTATGTTTGGTTATCTCTTTCTGCATGTTTGCTGCACCAACTTTAAGGGCTTTCCCTGGCGCAATACGGCCTAAGTTGCTTGTGCGCCATAAAACCCCAATCATCATCAACTTTATGGGGAACTGATATTACAAAATTCGTAGTTGTGAATTGGTTAGACTAGAGGAATTATCGCGTTCCTATAATGGCTTGAAATATCAAAAGCCAGTAAACCAGAGTGAAACACGCATTTCCATTTTGATAATAATTTGGTTAAAAATTGTATTTCGGAGCTGGGGAATTTAGATTGCATTTAAAGCTTCTTCGTTTTCACAGTGGAAAAGTACGATATAAAAAGAGAGCGCTGGACGGACGTTCCAAGCATGACCTGCCCCCGTAGCAACTTCGCCGTCACCGTGCTGGAAGACACCATCTACGTCATTGGCGGTTTCAACGGTGAGTGAACGCAGGTCACCCTTGAGTTACAAACACTGGCGTAGCTGATATGATTCCCGCTTGAATTATGAAGCTTACCACCGGCAGAAGCCTAAAACGTGTTCTTTTCATTTTCTTTTCTTAGCATCATTGAAATTGTTTAGGCTTGGCAGAATACATGATAAAAAATCGCCTACATGATAAAAAATCGCCTGGCGTAAGCATATCTTCAAATGACAAAAAGGCGTGCAATAATTTTTTTGACGATTGATGTTTTTTTTTTGTAAATCAAATTCCAGGGTAAAAAAACTGAAAGCCGTTTACAACTCCCTGTAACGCCGGATTAGAGCCCAGCTTTTGAAAGGGAGGATGGAAGGGTACTGAGGGATAGGTAACTCCCTGAGGTCATGTGACCTTAGTGGGGTCACGTGACCTCAGGGGGGTTACGTGACTTCGAAGGGGGTCACGTGACTTCAGGGAAGGTCACGTGACCTAAGGGGGGTCACGTGACCTGACGACAGTCACGTGACATCAGGGGGATCACGTGACATCAGGGGGTCACGTGACCTGAAGCGGGTGTCACGCGACCTCAGGGGGGTCACGTGGCTGCCCTGAGGTCACGTTCAAGCTCAAGCCGGAAACGCGCGCCCACTATACACTTTTTTTTTAATGCCCAGTTCCTATCCTACTAAGCTGCCTCCTTCCCTACGCAGCTAAGAGGGGTGAAGAATAGAAAAGAGAATTAGCCCAATACTACATCCAACTTTCTCCCTCCGCGCGGCCCTATGCCATTGGTAAAGCGTGCTAGGACGTCAAGCCTACAGCTGTGCTCCGCTGCTGCCACTCTCTTCCGTACCCTTGCTACGTGCGGCCGACACCAACACGAGCAAGCTGGGTCTGTGTAGCACTCCCTTAGTATAAATATTACAGTTTAAAATGAATCAGCCCATCAAGATCTCGCATTAAGATTCATATTGCCGCGCGCGCAGCTGACCAAGTAGGCAGCGCGCGCGTGGCCTAACGGTTATCGCGCTTGCCTCCCACGCAGAAGGCCAGGGTTGGATTCCTGGCTGCGACTACACATTTTTGTTGACAGTGTAATTTGATGTTCTAGTGAATTCGAGAACCGTCTTGCTGATTCGAGGTTAGAATGTTCTACACACCGAACCTTCTACGCCGAAGGATCCAGAAACCCACGGGGTACATAAGGGATTCCGCAAGGCGAGCGGAGTCAGTTTCGCCCCAGCGTTCGACTCTGCTCTTTCGCCGACTTCGACGCCCGCGACGCTCTCTTATTATCTTTTGTACCCTTTTATTTTTGGCACAAGTTCGCGACATTAAACGTTTATTTATTCCTGTTTATTTCTTGTTTATTGGTCACCACCCGTGACAATATAAACCCGGAGTGGTTAATAGCGGTGCTGGTTTCCCGGTGCACGCAAAATCGTTTCTTCACTTATCGCTTCATGAAAAAGTACAAATGTACGGAAACAGGAAAGTGTCTTTTGCTAAAATCTGTAAATACATGATTGAAAATGATTCAGACAAAAACTGCGACTATTGTTGCGAAGAATTGGTTTTCTTGAACTAGTTTTAAACTATATTTCGCTCTCCCGGCGGAGGCGCGCTTTGGAAGGTAATAGGGTTGCAAATAGAAATTATAGATAGCTTCCAATTATTTATTTTAAAAGCATTTCTTTCTTTCACATTCATTTAGCACTTACATCAAAGAAACATAATTGGCATGTCCATGTACGTCCGTTTTTTTTTTTCGTTTTTTTTTTCGTTTTTTTTTTTCCCCTGAGTGAAGGGTTATAAATAATACTACAAATCGGGTGAAGACTCATTATTCTCGACATCAACGTAGAAGACAAAGTTTCACGTATGTGAAAATTTCGCCGAAACAAACTGGAAAAACGTCGCGCATGGCATTCTTCCGCTCGCTGTGTCACGCAAATGCCACAAATTACACATGACCAGACATCAAAGTTTAAAAGGTGGCAGGCAATTTTTTGGCCTCTCATTTAACTATCCCCATTCCATATTGTTACGTTTTTAATTTACAAAAGGACGTCCATAGCCAAATTAGACCAGATTAGAAGTGTGTCACGCGCCGTCTGCACGCGCTTCGTCTTTGTCTTCGGTGGGTCTGGCACGCGCCTCAGCAGCACCGCTACACTATTTCCTCTCTGAGTTTTTTTCCTGATGTTCTGTCCTAGGTTTGTTCATTCTGCTAAACAACTTCATCACGTTCCATTAAAGATAGACAGTTCTTTTCGTTGGTTTCGTTACCGTTGCTCTTCTCCACGCTCACGAATTTCACGCCACCGTCGAAGTTCCTCCGCAACACCGAAATCCAGCACATTGGCGCTTCTTGAATTTGATGCCCGAAGACTTGTGACTTGGCCGCCGCTAGCTTCTATTTTCGTCACTCTCGATGAAATGTCTGATAACTCCGATGCCGGCACAGATCATATCGGTGTAAAATAACACTGCACATTTGCGCATTTTGAAATGAACACCGAAAATGAAATGCGCCGGTGACGCCGAAGCCCTGCCGTTCCTCCCGTCAGCTTTTCACGAATTCCTCCACCTCCTGGTGTCTTCGGCACTGAACCACCCTCCGTGATTGGTCGTGAAGCGTCCGCCAGTGCTCCTCCTCCGCCTGGTCTACACTCTGTAGAATCAGAGCGAAGTTCCCCTAGACCAAGCCATCTGGACCAGTCCTCCCCCGCAAAGTCGTCACCGGAAGTGAGCGGAACTACCGAGTACAGCGAAGCATCAACCTCTGCGAGATCTGGGGTGCTATGTTGCGCTTTTTGCACTCCCAGGAGACTAGGGAGAGGGAAGTGACGTCAACGACACAGCAAACGCAGATTGGGTGTTGATTTCGTTTTCTTCTGTCAACATCCAATCTGCATTTGCTGTGTCGTAGACGTCACTTCCCTCTTCCAAGTCTCCTTGGAGTGCAAAAAGCGCAACATAGCACCCCTGCTTCACCAACTCCGGATCATGACAATATCGAACAGGAGCAACCTTCTTTCATTCCTCTTGGTGGGCTGATGAATGACTATCCAGCTTCACGTCCCCCAGCCCGACCGCAGCGACCCAACCAACGACCAGCTTGGCTCGACGACTATGTCTGCGATTATGTGTGTGCTGAATGAATTTTTGTGCCCTGTGTGCTCATGATGAAACGTTGCGGGATAGGATGTGTTGTAAATAGTTTTGGTTCCCAGATTTATTTCGTTCTTCATGTTCTCTCTTTTTTTATTTTACGGAAGGAAGAAAATGATATGTTGTAAATACCTTTCGTAGCCTGATAGATTTCGTTTCTTTTTGCTCTCCTTTTGCTTTACTTTATGAAGGGAGAAATGTTGTAATTGAGTTTATGAATCGCCACCAGGGTGCCCCTTTTCCTTTAATCGCCCTTGTGCGCGTGAATAAAGAAGTGTAGCAGCGTTCGTCGGGGCTGGACGTGTCCTTTTTCCTTCGGCGTGTCCGCTTGGCCGCGGGCCGCCGCTGCCCTCCACGCCATCGTCGTCGTACCGTAAGCCTTCCTGCGCATATATCCTAATGCAGTATAGCCCCTCAAACACTACATTCTAATGTTACGTTTTTAATTTACAAGAGGACGTCCATAACCAAATTACACCAGATTGGAAGTGTGTCACGCGCCGTCTGTGCGCGCTTCGTCGTCGTCCTCGGTGGGTGCTAGCACGCGCCACGGCAGCACCGCTACACTATTTCCCCTCCGAGTTTTTTAGCGATGTTTCTTCGTAGGTTGGTTAATTCTGCTTAACATCGCCACGTTCTATTAAAGAAAGACAGTTCTTTTTGCAGGTGTCGTTGCCGATGCTCATTGCGACAGTTCCTCCGCAACACCAAAATCCAGCACATTGGCGCTTTTTGAAGATGATGCCCGGAAACTTGTCACTTGGCCGCCGCTAGCTTCTGTTTTCGTCACCCCTGGTGACATGTCTGATCAGAACTCTGATGCCGGCACATATCATATCGGTGCAAAGCATCACTGCACATTTGCGCATTTTGAAAACCAACACCGAAAATGAAATGTTCCGGTAAGGCCAAAGTCCAGAAGATAGAACGTTATGCTCACGACCTCATCCGCCGAATGTCCAGAACAACAGTCAAAAAAACATTCAAGTCCAGCGCGCACTTACGCGCCTCAATGCCTTGAAGCTTTGGGATGCAAATGTGGCCATATGCCAACGCAGGATCTCCATTTCACGGCCACAGAATGGTCGTAGGGAACATGGCGAAGTGGTCACTTGCGTCACTTGTTCGTGACGGTCCCGGCATGAAGATTTGCCGCGTCAGGCAATCCAGCCGCCAGCCATTGGCTCCATGAGACGCCGGCGCTGACCATATTGCAGAGGATAATCTTTCCGAGAGGAGCTTTCCGGGTAACTTGAGGTGCCATGTCAGAAATCCCACTTCTGACACCAAATGTTACGTTTTTAATTTACAAAAGGACGTCCATAGCCAAATTAGACCAGATTAGAAGTGTGTCACGCGCCGTCTGCACGCGCTTCGTCTTTGTCTTCGGTGGGTCTGGCACGCGCCTCAGCAGCACCGCTACAATATTTTAACTGAATTGTTGCATTTTAGTAAAGTAAAAGCGATAGCTGTAGCACAGTCGCGCATTGCGGGTGAAATGGTGCCGTCACGTTACCTGAGGACGGGGGTGCGACGGGGTTAGTTCTCATAGCCGTCGTGGTTGGCGTTGTGGATGCCTCTGACGACCGTCACGAGTGCTCGGTGATCTGTGAAGTAAGACCAGGCACTGCATGCGCGTTTCAGTTCACAGCGGTGGACGCATGGGAACTGGGACGAATGAGCCCCTGCTTGGAGAACGCCAGCCTCAATCCGCCAGCGCCATTACGAAGAGTGCGCGTCTGTGGCGACACAAGAAAAAGCGTAGGGTTTCCCTGTCTCCGGTGAAGGGAGGGCGGTAATGTTCAAGTTGAGAGATGACTGGTGAGCGAACGCAAGCAGAGAAATAAGGCGAAGCTCTGCGGAAAAAGCGGCTGCAAGGCGATGAGTTTTAGTAGAACAGCTTTTCGTTTCGAATTGGTTTCGAGAAGTAGAGATGCTATAGGGAAATCGAACGTGGTGAAACTTTCTAAAACCATGCAACATTACGGGTAGCAACTGGATACTGCCAAACATGACGAAACATTACCCACATCCCGCGTGTGATCTTTGAAAACAACTGTTTAAAGCAGACGACAGGAAGACTCTCCCTTCTTCGTGCCGTGACTGGCAGGGCGCTAATCTCCCTTTTTTAGAGCGCAGCTCTTAGGGGCCCGTTTCCAGCCTGAGCGGCGTCGCCGTCGCCGTCGCCGTCGGCGTCGCCGTCGGCGTCGGCGTAACCGCGCGTTGCATGCAACAGGTGGCTAACAACCTGACATGCAACCACTCAGGGGAGATGCAACCTGTTGCATGCCACCTGTTGCATGCCACCTGTCGCATGCAACAGGTTGCGTGCAACCTGTTGCGTGCATTGCCGTCGCTGTTGGCGTAACCGCGCGTTACATGCAACAGGTTGCATGCAACCTGAGATGCAGCCACTCAGGGGAGATGCAACCTTTTGCATGCTACCTGTTGCATGCTACCTGTTGCATGCAACAGGTTGCATGCAACAGGTAGCATGAAACAGGTTACAAGAGGCAACGGCGTGCATGCACCCCTGTTGCATCTGCGTAATTGCGTGTTGCATGCAACTCACTTTGCATGCAACTCAGGCTGCATGCAACCTGACCAGCAATAAGCCAGGTAGCATGCAACCTGAGTTGCATGCAACACGCAATCACGCAGAAGATGCAACAGGTTGCATGCAACCCCACGATTGCGCCGGGTTTTGTGCAACCCGGCGACTGCGGCGGGTTGCATGCAACCCAAGGTCACGTGACCCTCCAGGTTACGTGACACGTGATGAACAACATCCACGCCAAAAAAAGAAGGGAAGGAGGACTAGCAGCCATGATCACGAGGGAGGAGGAAGGAGGAGGAATATACCCTCCCTTCAGTATCCTTCCCTCCTCCTCCTCAAGAGCTGCGCTCCAATTCGGCGTTACAGTGAGTTGTAAACGGCTTTCATTTTTTTTCTTCGTGCGGCGCGGAAAACGGGAAGACCCAACTTTCTTCTCGCGTCAAGAGGGAAGAAAAAAAGGGTGTTTCCATAGCGGCGACAACAGCCGACGAGCTCCAAATACCCCAAATGTCGGCCGCAGAGCTATCGTTCTAAAATGAAGATATACAAGCAAACTGACGTTGTAGTACTTTCGTAAGGAATTCAACAATCTGTTCAGTAACGGAATTCCAAAGTGAAGCGCAACAGTACCAGGAAATTTAAATTATATAAATTGACACGTACATATTCGGCATACACCACGATACTGTCACGGAGTGAAAAGGCTCGTCGAGTGTAAACTGATAATACGGGTTTAATCGGCGAATTTGTGCCAGAAACAAAAGAAAGAATGAGCGTCGAAACAGCAGCAGAAAACGTCGCGGCGTCGGTGGGACTGCTGGTTGGAGCGAGAGTGCGAGAGAGAGTGTGTCGTCGTCGGGAAAGTGAGTCAGCAAGGTCATGCTGGGCTCCTTATCTACTACATTCGGTATCTAGAATATTCGATCTAGAATGTTCGGGAGTGAGCTAAGACGAGATTGACTCGGCGAGGTCGTGTTAACCTCCTAATTTTTTACGCTCGGGGTAAGGGTAAACTAGAATCTTCTAGAAGAACAGAGAAATGTTCCTTCTCGGTCATGCATGCGGCATTACTTCCCCCCTTTAAAAGTGTATCGTCCAGACGCAACCCTAAATAAATTGCCCCGAAGGTAAACCAAATGACCGTTCACTGTAAACTGTGGGTACGTCGGGGCTACGAAAACACTTGATCGCGACGGAAGTTTCAGGTTGTCGGTGATGATTTAGTCGGCGGCTGACGTCGTTTCAGAATCATCCGGAATTAAGAGAGGTTTCCGGAACGTCAACTCGTTTATTCCCAGGTCGATGACGGCACCGTATGCAGACCGGAATTCCATTCAGAGAATGCCGTTCCTAGCACAGTCATTGAGAAAAAGACATGTCCAACACATTTCCCTAGGCACGTCTCACCGTAGATTTTGACGCGAGCCGTGCACCTCCCTACTGGCGTGATGAGGTGTCCCCCGGCGGTTCAAATTCGTGGACTATCAAATGGCGCCATCACCTTTCGAAGGTGGCGAGAGCTTCCCACGCAGAATGGAATAGTCTTCTCCGGTGTCGGCGAGCGCTGTCGCGTCGTGTCCGTCGGTGACCACGTTGAGGTTATTTGACACCTTCACGGGAGCGTCGTTTCGATGCGTTTTGTTGATAGAGTGAGACCCCCTCCGACGTTTGTAGAATACTTTTGCGTCGTTCATCCTCGGCAATACCTCCATCCTGTATTGCCGCACCTAGTTTTTTCCGGCGAGACATGGGAGACAGGCTTTCCCGCAGGGACCAACAAAGAGGCGATGCAGGGTGTAGCGGTGAAGGCGAGGGAGCTCCTCGAGACGAAGCAGGAGCAGGAGGGGGTGGACGGTGAAGATATTCGTCGATTTCTCGTGGGCGCTCACCATACTGTGGGCGCCGGTCATTCGGGTAGAGCCCACGCAGCCCAAGTGGCCGGTAGGTGTGGGAGAGTGAGTCAGCATGGCCACGCTGGGCTCCTTATTTACCACACTCGGTATCTCAAATATCCGACCCATAATGTTCTGGAGTGAACTAGGACGACACTGAGTAGACAAGGTCAAGTTGACCTTATCTTTTGCACACGATGTAAGAGTAAACTAGAAACTTCTAGAACATGGGGCCCCCAGACCCCTGCCCGCGGGCCAGATGCGGCCCGCGGAGGCGTTCCGGCAGGCGCACGGATAGACGCGGACTTTTATTGACGTATTGATGGCCCGCGGCCATCAGCTACAAACGTAAAAAATTATCGCGCGTAAAAAGAAGTGGCACCGCGACGCGCACCAAAGGTGCACTCACATCGGCATTCGAAACGCAAGCGGGAAGCAGATCCGTTAGTTTTCATCATCAGACACAGGTAAAATTGTACAGGATCTTTAAACAACCGTGTTCGCCACCTCTTTGTGACGTGATTTAACGGCGAGAGTGAATGCGGTGTAATAGCGCTCTTGAAGATGTTAAAAATAGTGAGAGAAACCTACATCAAAACTTGAGATCTCTCGCCATAATATTGTACACTGTCAGTTCCAGCACGACTATTCGTAGTTCTCTGATTTATGTCTGTGTAACTATGATACAATTCCTTAGCATTCTAATGTATGTCGGGCTTAGTTTCCTGTGTTAAAACTCCTGCATATTTCATCAGCAGATTCACCATTTTTATTGGTTTTCTTCTCTCTGCGAATATGCCAAAGGTCCTTTCTATGCGCTTTAATTTCTGCCTGACAAGTTCTCAGGTTCACAATTTTTTGTAATGTCATGATTCGAACATAGTATTACATTTAAAAGTAAAATGTATGTATTCATTTACCTTACTTTTGTTTTAGAATTTTTGCTCTATAATAAATTTTGTTATTTAAGTGCTCATTTAAGCTTATATATTTAGTATTTTCTTATTTATATATTCTTAAATATTTTCTGGTCTCGAGGTTGCCACAGTCCCGTAGACCCGTAGCCAAAAAGTTTGGAGACCCCCGTTCTAGAAGAAAAGAGAAGCGGTCCTTTTCGGTTATGCGCGCGGCAATATCAGCCTGGAGGTGGAGCACACAAGTCGAAACATTGTTTAATTTTGTTTCTGTTGAGTGAACAGCGATCAGGTTTAAAAGGGTAAACACAGGGACTGCGACCGAAATTTTTATACTGACATAATTCGAACGTCCAAACTGTACCAATAGACACATACCGTGTACCTTTTTATTTTAGTACATAAGATATTTTAAACCTTACAGCGTGTGTCTAACGTTAGACTAGCATAAGAACCACTCTGATCTCCAGGGGAAAAGAAAAAGAAACAAGAATTCCGGGGTTCTTTTAAATTTGATTAATGATTTATTTTAATATACTGTAAACGACCTAATTTTTCAACAACATGATTTTTGCGAATTTCGGAATCGCCTACAATTCTCGAAAAATAGGTACTGCGGACAATTCAGCTAAAATGTAAACCCATTGAAATCTATATTTCAATGGGGTTCTTTTTTTTTTTGTCTTCGTCCTTGCTGCGCACAAGATTGTATAAGGCGAAAATTAGGACCCGCGAATTATTCACAAACTTCAGCTTCGAACTAAATTGCGAAATATTGAGCTTGCGAAATATAAGTCGTTTACAGTAGTTGACTGTTATGGAGGATACGTAGCATTCAGGGTAAAAAAACGTAAATATTTTTATGAACCATTGGAACCATGGGCAGAAGGCAACACCAACAGGTGAACTAGATTTTGGGAAGTACTTTTTTTCAAGCAATAACTGCAATTTCTGTAATGTGTGCGGTGTTTCCTTTTTGTACAATAGGAAATACGACTGTTCAGCTGGTCGAGTGCTACAATGTGGATGAACAAGTTTGGCGCAAGGTGACTAACATGAACATCAACCGAAGCGCGTTGGGCGCTTGTGTACTTGAGAACTTGCCTAATGCCAGGAAATATTCGGTTCTAGGTAAGATGAACACTTTGTGAAGTTCATTTGCCGTACAAAACTGACTCGGCCCTTTCATAAAAAGTAACAACTGAAATGTTAATCAATGAATACAAATGTGATAAACTAAATAGGAATTTCTTTTTTTAGCTATGGGTTAGTCTTTAATTTTGATATTGACTTACGCCTTCTTTCAGGGACATTGGACATTGGAAATTCCAAGGAGCTGTAACCAAAGGCGCCATATTTTTACAATATACAATCCAACTCTCGTATATGTCGGCTTGTCATTTGTTTAGTCTGAGAGTTTCACGGAAATGCTGTTAAAACTTCTCTCTTAAAGATTTTTTTTGTAGTGTTGGTTTGCGCATCATGCTTAGTTAATGTGTACTGTTAACCTGTCAATTGATTTGTATGTTCCGGTTTGATATTGGTCGTATTCAAAATTGTATAACAGATGAAACCGGATTCGGCGCACCCGTTCTATTGACGAAAGGGGATTATTGCAAACTGTTCGCTTATAATTCAATAAGATTTCTTCTTTTAAAGAGAGATTTGGAGGAGTGCCGTCTGTATATACATGTATAAAGCTCGCCGGACATTACATGAGGGAATCAGCGGCATGGTAAGTTGACTAATTAACTAGATTAGGTTAAATAACTTTTTCATTACTCGTTTAGAGGTCATATTGGAATTCCAACAATGACGGCAATTAATAAGAGAAACAAAACCAATTTAAATATTTTGCGAAAATGTATTACTTTTAGGAGACTGAAGGATATATGTTCGCATTTTTCTCTTTCGCGCGACTTAAAATCCGTTTTGAAATTACGCCGCGTGCCCTGTCCAAGACGACGCTTGAAAGAGTGACGTAAGCATTTCAATCATGTCGTCACTATCTCGGCAGCAGGTCTTTGGTCAATGCGCCGACGGCACCGGTGACGACGTGACTGAAATTATTACGTCACTCTTTTCTGCGTCCTTGTACGCAAGGACTCCGGCGCTCTTTTTAGGCGCATAATTTAAATTGGACGGAGAAGCGTGAAAATTGATTGGTCATAGTTCACTAACAATTACCTTTTCTGCAAATTTAGTAGTTCTGCACAATTTTCCAGCACGAACAAAATTTTATTTTTCACAACATACCAATTTTATTAACTTTGATGAGCTCAAAACGAAGCGATTTCTACAAATATTTGCGGCATGTTGAAATCGAAGTGTGAATGCACTTGGTTCAACTTCATTCCAAGTAACTTGAGGCGAACCTTATTTGGGCCCCCTTTTTTTGTAATCTCCATAGGCTGGAATATAGAAGAAATGTGAACGGTTTTGGAACGTGTGCGCTCATACATTAATATACTCGAAGTCAAGACAAACTAGCCGCTCTAAACATGGAGTTTAATATGACCTGTTCATTACACGCAGTGTAAAAATAGATAATGCGATTTGTATTTTTTAAATACTTTAACGCTCAATAAAAATCTATATGAGTATATTAATCTGAGATATATTAATGCAGGTGAAGTTTACAATGTTACATAAATCTTAGCCCAATTTGTAAAGAAGGCTATAACATACAAAGTGCAAACTATCGTCAGATACAATTTAATGAATACAGAGCGAGGGGCAAAATGGCGCAGACAAGAAAAGCTGTTCTGGAAAGGTGGTTTGCCCTTTTCCACTTCAGCTCTCCAAGTTTTCGCTCCTTTCCCTGCGCACTGTGTTTGTTAGGTTAACTTGTCGCGGACACGTACAACATGAGCAAGCGCCTTTTCGTCCTTGCCTAGTACTAAACTTAATTATCACAAAACAACTTTTATGAAGACTCTACTAAATATATAGGCTCGTTAAGTGAACAAATGGTCCTGAATGAAACAACGCGCTTATATAGAGCAAGCAAAATTGAGTGAAAGTTTTATCGGCGCAATTTTATAAATTCTTGCTGTCCGGCATGCACTTACATTCTTCGTAAGGGTTGAAGACTAGTTCTTTTTGAACTTCCACTGCTGTACAGTTTCTGTCCATACACTTGCCACCATCACACACTCCAGGGGTGATGATAGCACTATCAACATCTCTCAATTCTATTGAGAACTGAAGAGAGACACGTAATTCAGTGTGAATTCAAGTACAGTGTTACGAATTCAAAATACGCATAATATAAAACATAAATATCAGATGTGCCATGAGCAATCCGGTCAAATATTTTAAAAGTTCTAAAACTGCCAAAGCATGACGAAGTTAGTGTCTAGACACTGTCTTTTTTTACACTCCTCTCAAATAGACTCAACCACCTGCGTCACGCTCATCCTGGGAGAACCACTGTGGCTGTTTAGCTTACGTAATCAAAATTCGTCTAACATATTTCATTTAAAAAATGACTCTAAAACGTTATAAAAATACGTTCGGAAACCTGTTGCAGAAACCGGGATTCATCATGGTTAAACAAACTACACCGACTTGACATAACACAAATAACAATTTAATCAGACGCATAGGGTGGTGCACGAAATAACTCGAACCCGAAACACCTGTGTCAAATTCCCCGCTTCAAATTCCCCGCTTTATCTCCCCCGTCCTCAAAATCCCCGGCTTTCAGAGGCCGGATTCTCAAAGCGAACTTACGACGGAAAAAGTGCGTACGACAAATTTGAGAGAAAATCCGTATTCTCAAAACGAAATTGTTGTAACTTTCGCCCAGGTTACGACAGAATCCTACGACAGCTCTGAAGCTGTCTTACGCACTTTTTACGATCAAATCCACATGGCCGACTGCGACGCTCAGTTACTTGGTCGCAACGACCAACGGACATTTATTTTTCTACGTGCTCTTCTTGCGCGTCCCGACTTCAAGCGGCAAGAAAAAAGGAAAAGGTACTTGAAATCGACCACGACGGACATGAACGCTGGATCCACAAACACCTAGGAAAAGCAGCAAAGGCAACGTTCCCGCCGACCGAGCGAGCTCGGCAGAATATAGGCCTAGCAGGCACTCCGACCTGCTCCGACGCAGTGTTGCTCCGACGGTTCCTGTCCGAGACCGTTTGCCCACGACCGGCTGGCGTGCTGAATGAAATATCCCCGGGTGACCCTTCTGAACCCTTCCCGTATTAATAGTTTGATCATTGAGCTCAATTTTAGATTAAGAGGTCAATCTCTTCCCCTTGTCATCTCCTTGTTTTCCGAGGCAGCGGTGACGAACGCTGTCATCGAAAAGGGACTCTTATTGATTCTATCTCCTTGTTTTGTGTGATATATAGCTTAAAAAACGCCGTCTGGCTTACCTTCCCAACACGGTATGTACACTTTGTTATTAGCGTGCCGTTTTTATTCTGACACGACGCTACGTCACAGTAGAGCTATAAGAGTTCGTGGGAGCTGCGCCATGACGTTAAACCTTTCTTTGCCGAGTGTCACGTCAGTATCGAGTTGGAATCGTAAAAGATCGCTCCCGAAGCGTTTACTAAAACACGCCGTCCAAGAGAGCGAATCCAGCACCTCGATCAAATGCGTCTTTGCTTGGCTCTTGCTGACATGCTGACACTCGTAGGTCAAACGTATCTTTTTAACGTCGGCTTGCTCCTGTATTTCTGAGGCCGCAAAAAACGCCGTGGCAGTTCGTTTCTATCTACGTCGCTTGGCAAACGAATGGCACGGAGCTTTTACCAACGATTACCGTTGTTTTGACTTCGTAGCGATCGAGTTTGTAGCAGTCAACGAAGCGTTTAAATCGTGTTAGCGTCGATATATCACTGCACGGACACGAATCCCAGACAAGCGGTGGTGGAAAGGCCGCCTGTGTTTATGAGAAACAGCTTGAACACTAAAAATTTACACACAGACAGGACAAGACATACAAAGAGCTGACTATCAGCGAGGTAGTTAGCCTGTGTTTGTTATTAAAAGTCCACGTGTTTCGAACTATGCACAGCTCTTCGATTGGTTGTTCGTGTTGCCGAAGACGCCGTCGCCCTAGCAGCAGCACCGGAAGTCGTCGTTTCTCCGTAAGAGGTCGTAACTTTCCTCCTCTCGCCTAAAAACGCGTTTGTGAATACCGTTTTCGCCTCATCTTATAATGATCGTAACTTTACGAACTTCGTAGCTAAGATGTCGTAGGTAAGAGGTTTTTTATGAATCTGGCCTCAGAACCCCCTTTGCCCCTGTCCCCTTATTCTTTATTCTTTATTCAGGTAGCTCCTGCAGCGCCGTTGAGGCATTATTGCAGGGGGCGAACAACATAGAAAAAAACATTTCTGCATTTGCGGCACAAACAGTTTCAACACTTAAATTGTTCCAATCCCTAATGGTCCTAACAAAGAAAGAATTTTTGCACACTTCCGTCCTGTTGGAATATTCGCGTATTTTGTGGATATGATCTTTACGTTGGGAAATATAGTAAGGGGGTAGAAGGTAATGAAAACCATTAATACCAGTGTGTTTATTATAAATGCTATATAGAAATTTTAAGCGCAAATTTTTCCGCCTGAATGTCAGCAAATCCCAGCCTAATGTATTCTTCATGTCCGTGACGCACGAAAAGCGGTCGTACAGCCCCAGGACGAAGCGTGCCGCACGATTTTGCATCCTCTCTAAAGCGTCTATGTGATTTTGCTGAGCAGGATCCCACACAGTGCAAGCATAATCTGTAAGATGTCGAACGTAGGTAAGGTATGCAAGTTCTTTTATTTTTTGTGCAGACCTTTTTAGATTACGCTGGATAAAACCGAGTGCCCGTCCCGCCCTCATGACGACATCGTCAATTTGCGCATTCCACTTGCAGTCTGCTAATAAGGTCACCCCACTGACTTTACTTTACCGCCATTTTTTAGTGGTTCATTATTTAAATAATACTGAGTGTGAAGTTTGTTTTAGAGCGCAGCTCTTAGGGGCCCGTTTCCGGCTTGAGCGGCGTCGGCGTAGCCATCGGCGTCGGCGTAACCGCGAGGTCACGTGACCCCCCCGAGGTCACTGACCCACCCAGGTCACGTGACACCCCTAGGTCACGTGACCCCCCGAGGTCACGTGACCCACCCAGGTCACGTGACCGCCAGAAGTCACGTGACCCCCTGAGGTCACGTGACTCCTGACGTCACGTGACTTCTGGGGGTCACGTGACCCACCCAGGTCACGTGACACCCTGAAGTCACGTGACCCCTTGACGTCACGTGACCCCCCTGAGGTCACGTGACCTAAGGGGGTCACGTTACCCACCAGGTCACGTGACACCCCTAGGTCACGTGACCCCCAGAAGTAACGTGACCTAAGAGGTCACGTGACCCACCCAGGTCACGTGACACCCCTAGGTCACGTGACCCCCCGAGGTCACGTGACCCCCTGAAGTCACGTGACCCCCTTGAGGTCACGTGACCCCTCTAAGGTCATGTGACCCCTTAAGGTCACGTGACCCCCAAAGGTCACGTGACCTAAGGGGTCACGTGACCTGAAGGGGTCACGACCTTAGAGGGGTAATGTTATTTTTATCCTAACGTCTTTCTTGTCCCATCTGATTGCGCATGTCTTCTATTAAACGTGTAGGATAATCATGCTTCACCAGCGAGTCCATAATAACTGTATCTTCAGATTTCCGCACTTCCACATTAGGAAAATTGTGTTCGAACCGATGTAACAGGGTTTTTACGACTGCAGTTTTGTGCTTAACAGGATGATGTGAGTTGAAGTTTAAGAAGTTACCTGTGTCGCGGGCTTTACGGTACACAGTTGTTTCCGTCTGTCCGGTGCTGTTTCGGTATACATTAAAATCTAAAATTAAAGGCAGCGTGCCATTCTGTTCAACTTCACGTGTGAATTGAATTGACGGTTGAAGGCTGTTCTAAGTTAAATTAAGGTCATTAACATGGTCATTCTTTCGAATTACGAACGGGTATTCCACGTAAGGCCTATAAAGACTTACTGGGTGCACAATCCGCTGTAGAGCGCTTTTCTCCACGTGCTCCATGACCAGAGTCGCCAAAGTCAAAGGAACCGGACTGCCCATTGGACAACCTTCAATCTAATTGTAGACATGTCTATAAAATGTAAAGTGAGACTGGTTAAGACAAAACCCTAGCTTTATAACGATGCCTTCGTCTGTTAACGATGTGCGTGAGGGGAGAGTGTCACCATTGCGCATCTGGCAGCGTTCTCAGCGTTTAGTGCAACAATGTCGACGGCTTGAACTCTGTTATCGCTGCAATGATTTCGTCCTTCGCTACCAACTAACTCGAGACGCCGTTGCCAGAATACGGTCAGCTCGCGCGAGATCCACCAAAGCATTGTTTGCGGAGGGAGTTATTAAAGTAATATTTTCTATATTCATTTTAACACAATAGCGTTAAGGAGATCTTGTAGCAGAAAAGTCGGCCTCCGTGGCGTGGCAGAAACTCCGGTGGCGTGACGAAGACTTCCTGATTGGTCGATAGGGTCATGGGTGGATGGATGGATGAATACGGCTGAGCCCTTTGGATCGGGCGGTAGCTTACGCCACCTAGCCATTTTGTTTTACCATTTAAGCTTAGAATATTTAAATGTGAAATCTATATTCACTCCGCAGTGCAAAGAAAGTGAGGCTATGAAACCCCCTTGCCATCAGTGAATAAGAAAATACCTAGTCTTCTCTCGATTTATGCCACCATTCACTTAATCTTTGCTTGGTAATCTCTACAGTCTTGAAATCCACTCTCCCTTAGCTGTCTCTAAAACCCAATGACTTTATTAAATCTATGTTGTCTTCGGTAGGCATAGGGTGAAGCCCTTTACAATAGCGTATCAAGTGCTCAGCCGTCTTGTCCTCCTCTTCACAAGCAGTGCACACTGTATCCATTTCCTGGTACTTCACTCTGTATGTTCTGGTTCGCAGAACACCCGTCCTCGCCTCAAAGAACAATGAACTTCCTCTAGAATGGTCATAAATGCTTTCTTTGGCAATAACTGTTTTGTTTAACCTATAGCTTTCCAGAGCAGTCTTTTTCTGCATTCCCTCTAGCCACCGATCTCTTTCTGTGGCCTTAACTTTCTTCTTAACTGAGACTTGCTCTTCCGTATCTTCGCTATAGCCCAAAAACTTTCCTCTTAATTTCCTAGTGCGCTGTCTCCACTTTGTGTCTACACTCCTCATGTATAAATAGCTGAAAACCTTTCGTGCCCATTGCTTTCCATCCATCTGCCTCAACCTATCCTCAAATTCTTTCTTGCTCACCGCTTCCCTGCTCTCAAATGACGCCCATCCCATGTCTCCTTGTACTCCCTCGTTTGGCGTTTTGCAATGTGCCCCCAAAGCCAGTCTACCTACTCCGCGCTGTTTTATTTCTAGTCTCGCATGCACTTCGGATTTCATGCACAGCACTGTGTTTCCAAAAGTCAAGCCAGGCACCATGACCCCTTTCCAAATCTCTCTCACCACCTCATACCGGTTGTAATTCCAAAGTGCTCTATTTTTCCTTACAGCTGCATTTCTGTTGCCCTAACCAATTATATACTTTTCATGCTCTCTGAGGTATTCTGCACCATCACATGTCCATACTCCTAGATACTTGTATTTACTAGCTCTCTCAACTGTAATATTCTGTATCTTCAGCCTCTCAACTTCATCCTCGTTAAAAATCATGACTGCTGATTTTTCGCTACTGAATTCTAAACCTAATTACTCTCCTTCCCTACCACAGATGCTCATTAATTCCTGCAACTCTGTCCTGTTGTTAGCCATTAGTACGATATCATCCGCGTACATCAATCCCGGTAAGGATTGCTGAATTTTTTGGCCTAGCTTACAGTAAGAAAGGTCGAATCCAAGCACACTCTTCTCTAGTCTCTCCTCCAATCCTCTCAGATACAACATAAACAGCAAAGGCGATAACGGGCACCCCTGCCTAAGGCCTCGTCTTATCTCTATTTTCCCTGTCGCATTTCCTTCCCATGTTATAATCACCTTGTTATCGTTGTAAATGTTCCTTAATAGTGCTGTTAGTCCTTCATCTAGGTTTGAGCTCTCCATTATGTCCCACAGGTTCCTTTGGTTCACATTGTCATAGGCACCCTTGATATCCAGAAATGCCAGCCAGAGCTGTCTGTTTTCTTTTTGCGCTATTTCTATACACTGTGTTAGAGAAAATAAATTGTCCTCCAACCTTCTTTGTTTCCTAAACCCGTTCTGTAACTCGGCCAGTATGCCCTCGCAACCTACCCTCCAGTTTGTTCTTTATAATTTGCATTACCAACCTGTAAATAACCGGTGTCACGGTTATGGGACGATAATTCCTAATATCAGACTTATCTCTCTTTCCCTCATATATCATACTCATCCTACTAAGCCTCCATTCATCTGGAATATTTCCTTTTGTTATCATGGTACTCACTACCTCCCTTAGTTTTGCCTTAGATTTAGGACCCAAATTCTTCACCAGCTTGATAGGGATACCATCTGTGCCTGTCGACGTTCCGCCTTTTCCCATTCTCTTTGTCCAAAATCCGCGATGTCACAAACTGGGCTGCTACTTCCTTCAATTCTCCTATCTTCCACATGTACCCGTTCCCGAAATTTCTCCTCCATCACTGCTCCTATATATTGTATCGCATCATCTCCCTCTACTTGATCTCCCTGATGTGAGAGTATGAACCTCTGTCTAGCTTGCGTCGTTTCACCGAGTGAGTTGAAGTGCTCCCAAAACTTCTTGGCAGTGTTTCTATCTTTCTTACGTAACAGCCGCGTGACTTCTGGCGGACATTTCAAGCAACCCACAACGCTCACGTGAAACATTACGTCACGCCTGAAATGAAAGTGATTAAAACATGACATCTCATGCGAATTAAAGGTCGCCGCATGCCTCAAAGGATTTCACTTGTAACCTATTTGCCCTAAAGGATCTTAGGCGGGATTCGAACCCACGACCATTCGGTTGCGAGCCACACACGCTGCTGACTAGCCCTTGTCCGGTGCACTCCCAGCTCACTGGCAGGAAGAGCACAAGAAGCGAATGAGAAGGCGATCCGAGCCTGATGATGATGATGATGATGACGACAGCGACTATTCTACAATTATTTCCACAGTTAATCCGCTAATTCATTCCTACACTCCACAAGTCCTCTACCCACATTGCAGTGCTCAGGGCTCATGTGGACAATTCCTGCAAATTAAATTTTGTTCTGAGTCATTCACTCAAATTTTGCGGTTTGCACAATGCAAGAATTTTCTATATTTATTTGTGCTCAGCTAAAAATATTTTCCCTTGTCTGTTTGGAAGCGTATTTAGCAATCAATATCATGTATACCTGTCTGAATCAGGGAATATACGTTGCACTGGGATTCAGTTTATACATTAACAAGTTTCAGAGCATTAAAAGCACTGAACAATTCAGCAAGCAAAATAATCCGGAGTCAAAACGCCTCGGCAGCTTTCCTATGCGTTGTGCAATGGGCTTTTTTTCCAGTAACAAGAACCGTCTAGCGGCTTCTCTGCCAACTACAAATCGAGGGTGCAAAAAAATACACAACCAATCGCTCTGGTTGGTATTCTTTTCCTTGAGTTGTGTATGGTATTTTAACTTTGATTAGCGTACTATTTTTTTTTCAACTAATGGTTAAGTCGTGTTCTTTTCTCTCGCGCCTTCACAAGCCAAGCACTTGCCAAGAACAAAGCGATTTCTATAATATTTTTCTAATTACATTTTTTTTTTACTTTATAATCGTCCTGCCTTAAGCGAAGTATTTGGTTAGTAGCCATTTCTTACTTCGTCAGTATTTGTGTCAACACCTACTTTGCAGACGTTTGTTCACCACACGCTAAAAAAAAACTCGAGGTAAAAAAAAAAAAAAAAAACAAGAATCTTCGGAAACAAGAAGAACAACAACGGCTGATGAATGGAATTTTTAGGGTACCACACCCGCAACGTTTCCTTGCGCTATCTTCCCTATGAAATGTCTTTCAAAAGCTAAGGATATTATTTGTTGATTGTCCACACACATTGTTCGTCGGCTGCCAGGTTTAACCTCGGGGTTCATTAGACGAACAGCTGCGATCTACTAATTTTGTTAAAAATCGATGTCTACATTGGGTGACAAGATGCGAAAAATAAATTAACATTATATTTCCTCCGTTGATTTGATTAACCAACTGCGGAGCAAGAGAACGGTATCGCGGCATGTTATCATTACATGATGTGCTTCGAAAGCCGTTGAACGCGAAAAGCTATCACTCTGCTGATGCTTCACTGGGTCATCAATAATGCAGAACGATATGAACAGAAACAAGTCAGGCGCTCAGCCCCTGCAAACTGCAGAGAAACACGATAAACTCGACAAGACTTAAACTAACGTGCTGCTTAGATGCTCCTCTTACCACGGCGTGGTTGCCCTTCGGTAATGGCGGCAGGGCACTGCTGGCGAGAGTGCGCGCGTGCGCGAAGGTCTACTAGAAAAGGGTCTATTGAAATCTCTATCTCAGTTGCAAATGTCATTTGCAGAGAGTAAATAGCCACTATTACGGTTAAGTGGCTTTCGTGGAGTTATAATGCTTATGAAACACAAAAAAAACATTTGTACTTTTTTTTTTTACTTACAGTGCATGGTGTTCCGTCTTCACGCAGCTTGACTGTTCTTTTGTCACAATAAAGGCTACACTCCGTTGAAAGAAATACCTGCGAAAGTACCAACGTCATTCACGTGCAGTGACAAATTCAGTTTACATTCACGTCGAAAAATGCCGAAATAAAATGTACCGAAGTATTTTATCTTTTAAAAGAGTAAAAGCGAAATACATTTCTAAAACATGAGGGGGATTCGGGTTGGCGCAAGGGGGCTGCGGCGAGTAAAGGCATGTTCGCATTAGGCACCGTCAATTTCACCCAAACGCCTCATTTTCGGGGGTTAGTCACCCTAGACGCGCACTATGAGCTCAGAAGTATCACCGACAGCCTTCGTACACCCAAATCGGGCCAGAGAGCCAGGGCCAAGAGGAAGTCCGACCGAAACCTAGCACTACCAACCGCCGTGCTACGACTAACAGACGGCATGGCATGGCTACCAGATTCGAAGATGCGCCTCCAGACGCGGGAAAGAGATCGAGAGCCCAACTTCGGCAGCTACGGCGGTACCAGATTAAGAGGGCAAATGTGAGATGCTTCAAAATTCCACATTAAGACCACCAAGTCTACGAGTGACCGGACCCGCTGGCGAGGGCGTTGAAAGTAAAATGACCCACGTCGAAGAGACAGACTTTGGTCAAGTCGAAGGCGAATTGGAGACGGCGGGTAAGGACGTTGACCTCACGGACAATACAACACCAACCGAGTCGAGTGGAAACCTCTCCATACCTCAAACATCGGTACATTACTTCCAAAATGTAATTTAATTACAATTACAATTACTTTGCTTCAAAAGTAGTTTAACTACAATTACTACTACGTGGAAAGTAATTAATTACAATTACAAGTTACTTTTAAAAAGCAATGACCCGACTACTATATTACTTTAAACGAGTTGTATAGAATGCAACGTATTCGGTCATTCCTTACTCAAATGTTCACATGTTGTACTTTCTTTTTATGAATTTTGTTAATTTCATGACAGAACTTTACAGTACGCGTAAATGAAGTACTACATTTTTACATTGTAGTAAATAATAAATTATTTGATATGTTGCAAGACGCCAGATCGCTAAAACAAATTGTGTTGACAGACTTTAGTTAGCCAGTAAATAAAAATGTGACAATTTTAGTCATATAAAAATATTTTACAAGTGTTAATATAAATTAAAATTCACACGCGCTAATACGATGACATTCACATACAAACATCATCGTATTGTAAGCTATAATGGCTTAGAAATATATAAGAACCGAATCGGGGCTCCTGAATCATTGGTGACAATATTCACAGGTGCGAGGACAGTCTCCAAAGCGCTTATGCAAATATTATCCGAAGTAAAACCAACATGAAAGGAACTTCAAAATAATAGAAAGATATACATATTCGACAGTACTGGAAAAGGGGCGTGAGAAAAAACTGCAAAAAAATGAAATATATCTTCATAGGCAACTAAAATTCCCAACCTCAGCTCAAAGCTGAAGCTCAATTTTTTTCTTTCAATATTCTGGCATGTTTACGCTATTGTTTTCTTCTTGCACCGCAGACGGCGCTACAGGAAGCCGTTGAGGTAGGCTCCAGTGGATTGTCTCTCAGCCCGCAGTGTAAGCAACAAAATAACAAACAATGCGACGCTATTTATGTTGTGCGTGTGTGAGAGTATTTCACCGAGAGGTAGGCCGCTTGTGCGAGCACCGAGGCTTTCAGAGAGGTTTCGTCGGCGCCGCAAAGTTTTGCAAAAGTAAATGCAATTGTGTCTGAAATGTTGCAATTACTGACGCTAGAAAGTAATTAATTTACAATTACAATTTATTTTAGCCAATTGGAATTAATTACAACTACAAATTACCAAAAATAATTAAATTACAGTAATTGAATTGCAGTAATTGAATTACTACCGAAGTATGCCATACTTCACAATACGCCAAAACAATGCAAGAAAAGATCCCAGCCTAAAAGCACGAGAGACAAGCACGAGGAAAACGCAAAGCCTAACAAGACAGTGAAGAAAGACATCATCTTGCAGAAGATCTGTAGACTACGGGGAACTATTGGGACCCGACAGACGCGGACAAAAAGTAGGAGTGGAATGCATTCATGCAAATAGCGGGGAAAAAAAAGGTGGGAAAAAGCAGTCGATCCCAAACCTCGAGTGGCACACAAGAGCCTAATTCCCAAAATTCTGCTTACTGCGCTTATCCTGATACCCAAGGAGAGAATCCGGCTAAAGGATTTCTCGCCGAGAGATCTCAGATGTGGTGCGGAGAGAGCCAAGGAAGGGTATATACATAACGACGGCTCCGGGACCAGGGGCCGCAGAGCAAGCAACGCTATCGCGGTCGACAAATGGAGCAATGCAGTCGAACTCTTCGATAACCTGAAGGAGACTTTGACATCTACCAAGACCACCCCTGGCCAGGTGTACCTGCCGATCAGAGCCCGGGATAAGGTAAGAGGTATCATATATGGCACCGACGCAAACTAAGACACATAATATGTTTCTGAACTTAGAGAGTGAAACCCACAAGCCCCAGGGCACGCCCCATGGGACGCACCAGCAAGATGGCTCTCGTAACCTTCGAGGGCAAGAGAACACGCTCATTGGAAAAGTCAACCGTCGGTCTCACACCGTGTGACCACGCTTTGTCCGCTTACTCACGCTTAGAAATCGGGATCAGGCGACGAAAGGCAAACGATTGATTCGTCCGCGAGCGCGTAGCTTCCACCGCCCCGAGAGCTTTGCATTGCGCGGAGTGTTATATCGTAATTGATGAGAAGATAAGTTGTCCAAGGGTATAGGGGGCCTTCCCAATGCATATGTGTATTTAACTGGAATTAAGCGCAGCATCACAAAGTTATGCATGATGAGCTCTTGCTCCACGTACGTTCTCTGAGCTTCGGTGCGTTAATATACTCTCTCAAAAACAGGGAGTGTAGTACTTACACCCCTTGTTCCATACATAACACCCCGAAAACTGCAATTCGATGATCTGCCGGCGGTTTTTTCACGCTTTTCTTTTTGGAAAATGCGCGCACGCTTTTTTTCCCTAAAGATTTAAGTGGATCAGCGAAAATGTAGACTACTATACTCTGTTCCACCTTATGATGTGCCGCAGGAAAGGCTACAAGCGCGAGCTCCTTGCTTTGGGGCACATCACGGCGGCACAAGCTCTCGTGACTTAAGAGCGGCTGCCAACGATATGAGCTCGCGCTTCTGGCCTTCGCTGCGGCACAACATAAGGTGAAACGAAGTATATCTGCTTCAATTTGCATCCCAGCAGTCGCGCAGACACTAGCGCCAGTTGAAACTCCAGAGTACAGCGTAATAAATCTATAGTACCTCCTCCAGGCCGAGCTTCTTATCTTCCACAACGCTTTGGTGTACCATGCACCTCGAACGCGCGCGCAGCCGAAGCATGGCGGAAGGCATAGAGCGCGTGCAGGAGGCCAGGCGATCGAAAAACGCTCCCTTCCGTTCTTATTCTGTCAGTGAAAATATGTTTTCTTATTAAACAAAAAACTTCTTGCAATGACCAAATTATTTTGCGTTCTGATAGGTCACAGATAATTATGCAGTAATACATTACGCACTGGCCCCAATCAGGCCAGGAAATACCCAAAAATTTCACAAATTTTAAGAAAATATTTTGGGATGGTTATATTCATATCACAAAAGTTTAATTGTTAAACGCAACGCTCGAAGTTGTCTTCAAAGACCTATAAGTATTCCCTTTCAGGATCTTGTATTCTTAATCTAAATTTTACTGTTATTTGAGCGAAATACTTACCGCGTCATTTTTATCCTGGATATTAGTGAACTGGCATTTGAAAGGCCATTTTATCAATTGTGTACCTATAAAGTTGTTAAGAAGTACCTGAATTTGTGTTGCAAAAAAAATTAATACTACAAAGTACATTTGCCGTCATTTTGAAAGAAATTATTATTGTATGCATTTGAATGGCTATCAAACCTTAATAGCTTCCTCTGTTCAATTCTACTGCAGGAATTTATCCATCTGCCTAGCTACGTAAAACAAACATTTTCGGTAATGCAAAATTCAGGGTCAAGTATCTTCCTACCAATTTTTAAAACACTAGGAGCGTAATAGTTTTGATAATTTCAGTAATTATGGAAGGAACTAAACCCGCTCTATACCACCTGCGTACATGTATCCGAGCTGCCTATTCACGAGTTTAAGCCCTTAAGCGCAAGCTAGACTAGGTATGGTCAAGCTATTAGGGTATCTCGTTCCCTTCCTTTCTTTAATAATAATGGTCCATCGCAGAGCGCACATTACATTAGTTATCATTTTCTGAGAATGGCGCGGACGACATAAGAGAAGGCCGTATTCAGGAAAATTCAACACGCAAAAATCAGGCTCCCCTAAGAAAATTACCGCCTTTATACATCCCTGTTCCCGTAATTTACAGGTACTGCGTTGCTGCCTTGTAGAGGTGGCAATGTGCGAACACTGCGGAACTTGAAGCGATTTTTTTTTAACGATGGCTTAAAAATCAAGAAGTAAAGTGATTAGTTTTCTGTTTTTTTACGCTAGGTGCGACAAATAATATATTTTACGTACATTTTATGCTTAATTGTTTTATTAAATAGTCATAATTCGTTTTAAAATAAAGTGGATCTCATCATCAAGGATAGAGCGGATGTTTGGTTCTACTAAAGATCAGAAAGTGCGTTCGCCCTCGCCCTTCTGGCGGTCGTCCAAATAAAAGCTACTAAAAACCACATCTACTCTCTCCTCACAACTTTCATATGGATGCGAGAACAAAACACTAAAGTATTCTTATTCTTGCAAGTTCATAAAAAGGTTACACCCGAGTCAACATTATTTGATTCATTAACCGTCTATTTGGTTTTCGGCCTCAGTTTACACAAAATGGTAAGTTCTTTCGAAGAAATCTCATTGTGACACTATTGAAAATGTCGGAGTTTTGAGCGAATAAGACAAACAAGGCCTCAAACTTATGCAGAACTACATGTCATTGTATGAAATGCATGACACCGTGACGTGTTTGGTACACGGAAACCGGGAAAGAGCAAGTTATTTGTTGATACACTCGCCTAACGATATGCTGTGCCGTCCAAATTGATCGTTCAATCGGGGTCTTGGTAGTAAGATTGTGTTGGGGTTAATTATTTTTATGTATTGGCTATTTATTTGTTCTAGGTTCTCCAAAATGCTTCTCAGGCCAATATTGGGGGGGGGGGGGGGGGGGGGGGAGGCAAAAGGAGTAGATGACGCCACAACGCATCGAAGCTAGACGTATGCTTCATTTCCTTTTCGCTTGAACCTTAGAGTTCATACTAAAATACCATAATTTCCCCTGATATAAGCTCCGGTGTCTTTTCAAACTTTCCGTCGGTGCGTCATATACAGTGTTCCGATTGCGAAATAAAATTTATATTAATTTTTTCCCGCAGTCAATGTATGCACCTTTACTGGGAACATTTGCCACGGGGGTAATTTCTCCTTCAATTCGGTAACGAGAATATTGAAGCGTAGTCTCGCTGGCGCATATATGGCGATCTTAATGCACATATGCGGGCTTTTTAATTCCGTTTCGCCGGGCTGACCGCGCATAGGTGAGGCTTAGTTGCCGGTAAACACGGTGCATTTTTTTTGTATTTAAAACGAGTTTAATAACGAGTTTCAAAGCTACCGCAGGTGAAGGGGCAAATCTTCTCGGTGAGACAAATCGAGGCGATGGTCAGTTAAGACTATAAATCTACGGGTAATTTGATGTCACACCTTTGCAACTGAAGATAAAAAAACACTATTTTGTATCCAATCGTGAGCATAATTTCCAAATAAAAAACTAAACGGCTGTATACTTCGATTATTTCTGTTTATGGAGTTATTTGGTTTGACTATCTACTTGGTGGTTTGACTTTCAAGAAAAATGCGGCTTTTATTACTGGTGAATGAAAATATTTATTTCCAGATTTAGAAGAGCACTTCTATGCACCTGCGATAAAACATTGTTTTTTTTTTAGAAAAGGCAGACGCATAAATAGCGTTAGGTCACTGAATTTCAAACAATATAAAATCTTAGACGTATTACGTGAAGCTTAGAAATAAAAAAATGCCTCAGAAGACATTTTATTTCACCTAATTTATTAAAATTACACAAGAGAAGTACTTTTTCTGTATATTAGCAGTTACGCGTAAAACAATACATATCCAGAAATAACTTACGATCTCTTATATCATACAAAGGTTCGAGAAGCTCTCGCTTGTAGATTTCGCTTTCGTTCGTTTCTCTGCATTCCCCATTCACACACTTTCCAGATTCAATTGTAGCCGTCCAGTAAATACTCTTAAATCTCAACTAAAAATAAGAAAAAAAAATTTAGTTGGCTCTCAATATATGTATTTTATTATTATATGCAGAAAGCGAATCTTTTGTTGCACTTTGTGCTTTTTGAATCCACCCCATTCTTTCAATACGAAGAAACATTTAAATTTTCATTAAAGAAATAGGAAGACAACTTTAGTGTAAATATGAGTTTCGGAACAACTTTTTTCTCTCGCCTTTTCAAACAGTGTTTCTGCCACGTTAAAAGCCTCTTTGATTTCCTACGCGTCTTATAAAATGAGAAATTAAAATAACGTTCAAAAAGGGGGGCGTGTAAGATTTTCACTTAACGCAATCAGGAAACACACGTTAGGATAGCACATTTAAATACTAAAACGTTAGATTCAAGCGCATTTATAAATGAAATATCACCGATTTGTATACCTTTCTTTATGAAAATTCAATACTTCCACTGTCGAATGTTCTACCATTTTTAAACACCAGTTAGTCAAGAATGAAATACACGAGATCAAGTTAAGCACTTCAGGTTTAGCAATAATTGTTACAAATGTTCGAACATTTCACTGGGCCATTTATCATAAACATCTGTTTCAGAGGTATCCTGGTAACGCTTTTTTTACTCATTAGCTTTACTTGAACAATTAACAATATAGTTTCTTAGACCGTACTTTCCGTGTTCTTTTTTCTTTTTTTTTTTAAGTATCTAAGAATCGTGCCTTTCCTGGGCTGCTTCTTAGTTAAGAGTCGCATTAGCGTCCAAATAAATAAACAAATAGGCAGCCGTATTTGAATAATGTTTACACTATATTCTGCACCTCGTTTGTTTCTGTATTTTTTTTTTTTTTAAATATTTAACAGTGCTTTTATGTTCAGATGGAGCAGTGGCGTTGAAACTATCAGAGCATCTACTGAACTGCTTCTTGGACCTATGATGTATAACTCTAGCAAATCACGAGAATGAAATAAATTTTCTAATCAAACATGCTTAATCTAATGTAATGCAGAGTGTATTTTGTTTTTCCTGAAGATTCTTTGCTTCTCCGTAACGTAGGTGGCGAACAATCTACAATAAACAATATTCTTCGTGAGCGATTTGCGTGGGAAGAAAAACCTTGAGAAGTTTAGTGGTCTTTTTTTTTTTTATTCGTCCTGTTGGTCCTTTTTAGTTTCTCTTCATAATTATGTCAGTTTTAAATATATGTAAAAAGAAAACCCAATCGTCTCCAAAAGGCATATCTATAAAGAAACGTTTATCGCCTTAGTTCAACTCAAGAGGCTAACCCAGGAAAAGCAGGCGCCATTATTTTGTGGCGAGCGATGTGAATACCTTATCTACGTGATCTGCGTCGTAATAGATGTTATTCAGTGTTTTGTTAAATACTTTCTATCACCCGTTGAACTTGTTTGTGTATTTCGTTGTTTCTGTGCGATTCTTCTCGTAGTTTGGTTTAGTTGCGTTTATCACATTGACTTCATTAATGATATTTTCTTTGGACGTAAGATACTTTCTTCCCTCTCCTTATTTTCAAGTGTAACAGAGCAGTGCGCTTCCACTGGTCTAATAAATATTACGATAGTTTTGCACCGTAAGCGCTCCCAGGGAGTTTGAGACTTGGATTCCGCTCTCATATTCATGGTGCGGATAAAAAGAAAACAGCAACGAAAATACAACACAATTTTATATATACTATATTTATGAAGGGATTGAGTTAATTCTTTGAACAGCCAAGAAGCATATTTACACGAGACGAAATAAGCTAGCAAGAAAGAAACAAAAATTTTAACAATACCTAAACGACTGCGCAATTTCACAATCAATTGTGTTTGTGTGTACGCTTATACAGTCTGACCTTAGTCTGCTTTAACGGTTGACTTGTCTCTCAGCCGTAGATGAGCATTTAAGCCAGTGTGGTAAAACTGCCAGCCTGGCGTCTTAAGGTGCACCACTCCGTAGTGATACACGACCGCACGCCGGTACTATTCTAGTACATTGTACCGGTATGACGCTCATCCAGATGGGATGCACAGGGGTGGGGGTTGAACACAGAATTCTCGAGTTCTGCAGCGCGAGCTTTCGCTCCATGTGCTCCGAGCTGGTGTGCGCTAGCCTACTCGGCCACTGATATCCCTTTGCAAAACCAACTACTCATTGTGAGAGTGTTCTGATTATAGAAGTAACTGTACGTCTGGGCCGATGAAAGTGTCAGGGTTCACACGATTCAAATAACAAAATAGAAAGCCGCTGGATGTACTCATAAAAGGGGAAAATAAATTTCCCACTAGACCACAATCTATTATACCACAGCTTCTAGACACGCCTTCCAACAAAGCAACAACCATTAAAAGTAACAGATTTGAAAAAGGTATTGAAGCTGCGAAGTTATTATTTTTAACGAACTGCTACATTCTCGAATTCATTACTTCACCCTCAATCAGTAAGATTAATAACCGAAGTTATTTAGGAATATTCATTTTCTTTCTAAACATAAGAGCGCTGCCATATCAAGAGCAATCTTTTTTTTTTAATTGAGGAACATGATTTGTTGCGGACAGATAGCGAAAAGAGGGTGTTCATGAAGCGGTGTTATAAGGGCTCTATTTTTAGTGTGACTTACAAAGCACAATGCATTTTCCTCCGCATAAACGAGCTTTCCATCGCAAGTTTTATTGCACTGAGTTTTTATTATCACCTGAAACACAAATAAAAGAATATCTTGTCAAATGCAGATTTTTGTTTTATAAAAAAAAAATATTGTTTATATATATCATTTTAGTGACATTTTCAGCCCTGGAGAGTGGGGAAACAGGAGGACAGGACAACACAAACACGATTCGTGTTGTCCTGCCCCTTTGTATCCTCACGCTCTAAGGTTTAAAAAATATGTTCTTAACCAGCTCACCTGCAACCTGCAGGTGAGCTGGTCACCTGCATGAACACCGTTTTAGGTTGCTATACAAAACACTTGCAGAGATTTCATAACTGATGCAAAATTAAATATAGATTGTTAGATCTAGGCTAGCAGCAGAATGCTACAGATATAAGATAGACAGCAGAACTTGACTAATTTTACGGCTGTCTATCTGAAAGCCAAGTTTCTAATGTGCTACTTGTGCACCATATGACATATTTTGAGACGGCACAGCTCTCAGACCTTTTGTTGATGCCTCCCAAGCCACCCTAAGAACTTTTTTTTTTTTTTTGTAATATGACGTGAATTAGTTGTTGGACAGTCAACATTTTGTTGCTTCGAACGCTTTTTTTCCATATGTAGTCACATTTTTAATGCTGTCCTTTCTTCAGAAGTTCGTACTAATGTGATGCTGTACCAACTTGCTTCGTTCTTTTGAAAACTACCAGTATGTTGGCGTTTTAAATTATATAGCATAAGGGTGTGTCAAAAGTAATCGAATATGCAACCAAAAGCTGCAGATGGCAAAACGGTGAGCGACTGTCCCAGCGACACTCCAGTGCAAGGCACTAGAGTGTCGCTGGGACAGTCGGCTGCTTTGCAACGCGACACACCACTACTGCTTGTTTAGTTTTTTCTTTGTCCCAAAATAACAATATTTCCCTTCGCCCCCAGTTGGCCCTCAACCTTTTGGGTGTGGGCCATCTGGCCCTTACACTCAATTAAGTTTGAGACCGCAGCTAGAGATCATTTCACCAGGAAGAGCGGAGAGTAAAATACAACCGCATCTCCACGTGGTGAATGATGTTGATTGAGGCGAAGCTCTGGTGGTGCTTGTCTGCGTAGACGCTGAGCCGCAGCATGCCGAGCCTTTCGTTCGTTTTCATCCATGTCACGCTGCGTTCAAATGCTCAAATGCGTATATAACCACGTTCCATACCACACATTCTCTTTCTGGCATTGATGAAAACGAACGAAAGGCTCCGCATGCTGCGGCTCACCGTCTACGCAAACAAGCAGCACCAGTGCTTCGCCCCAATCAACATCATTCACCACGTGGAGAAGCGGTTGTTTTTTTGTGTTTTTTTTGCCCTACACGACCACGGGAGCACCTGCTCACATGCGCGTGAGTATGTGAGCGCGTGAGCTCACGAGCAGGCACACGTGCACCCGACAACGGACGGACATACGGACATGGCGAGCCCCCACCGTGCTAGCCCCTAAGGAGCTTCGCCCCTAAAAACGCAGTCTGAATGGTGACAATAAGCAATGCAAGCGTGACATTTTGCATTGCTTAATGTCACAAGACAGTGCGTTTTGGGGGTAAATATATATTTCGGCGTCGTCATTCGCTGAGCTGCCTCCGCAAGTTGCGGTGATTGGCTCTCCGAGTGTTGTGCGGGAAAATCGATGCACTGGCTTTTATTAGAGTGAAATTTCTGGTCCACAATATACAGTTCAATCAGCGAAAAACTAGTACTAACAAAATGACTAAAATTGTATTATCAAATATTTTTATTCCTTTCAATTTTCCTCTCTGAGTATAAGTTATAAACAAACAGCCTTTGCAGAACCAGTCCCAGTGTTTGGCTGCCCTCCGCCCTATCTCTACCTGCAATCATGATCTCATCGATGCCACAACGCGTGCGCATAACGCCTTGAAATACGTTGTTCATGAACAATTAAAAATTGGCAGGCGTTCTTTCCAGGCCAAGCAGAATTCACTAATACTCAAATAGTTTCAGGTGTGGATAAATAGTGCGAAGATGTTTTGCTTTGTTTCTGAGCCATTTTTGCTGGATGCTAAGGACATTGCAGAGTCCCGGATGTGGGGACGTTTATCAAAGACTACCAGTCGAGTCGGAGCTCTTAGAAAGACTGATTTTCGTCCCGAGACATTTCAATTATATACAAGAAAACGAAGAAGAAAAATATTGACGATAGCATCAAAAGATTGGACAACATAGGGAAGCAAAGAAAGTAAAAACCAAATATGATGAACAACACAATTTTATCCCCCCCTTTTTTTGACCGACAAGTAAACAAAAAGAAAAACGAATAGAATACATTTGAAAAAGAAATAGAAGAATAAGAAACAGGACAAAGCGTTTAAGACACAATGACAACCTACAATCAGTAACACATGTCAACTCAGTCTCAAATTATTACGTCAAAATGCATTCACATAATTCAGACTTACCTGTTCCTGGCCAGGACATATAAAAACTCATCAGACTTACTCACACGCATCAATTTCTATTTACTCCTATTCCCAGATTCCATGAGCTAAATTTACACTTCGGTAATTAAAAACAAATCGTCGTACGACAATGGTGGTTGGCGGTTTCGCTGAGGCCTTCTCTGTCCTGGCAGCCGGGGCGTTTCCATAGCACCGTCTGGAGAGTGTGCTGCTCTAACGGAAAGGAATGGCTCACCGGCCGGTGACTGTCTCCTTTGTGCCGAGCAAAGTCTCGACGGCGTTGCACAGGACTCCATCCTGAGTTCACGCGGGCGTCTTAGGGTTTCGAAGGGAGGCGGTGTATACAGTATACAGTCGGCACTGTTGCCTTTGCTGCCATATCAAATTAGCCATTAAAGGATGTATATGTGGTCGATGCTGCTGCCGCTGCATCAGAGTGGCAACGGCGTGCTGTGTACGTGGTTGGTGATGTTTTCGCTGCCACAGCGTGTGAGTAGCAGCGGATGTCTGCCAGTCATGGTGGCAACATCTTGCACCTTCGGAAGGGGTTCCGCTTTGGGGAACTCTTTTGGCTTCACTTGAAGTGGGCTGTTCAAGTGTATCATTCCTCGTTGCTGGCCTGTTCTGTTCGTGAGTAATCATTTCATGCTCTGGAAGGATTGACAACCTTCAGGTGTTCTAATATCTGTCCTCCTCAAGTTGGTACGTCCATTTCCCCGTCCGCATATGAATGAACGATGGGCTTCCATTGCGTATATGGCCAGGCTTCTTTACTCTAACGAGATCGCACACTGTAAAACGCGTTGTGTCGCCGCCCTTCTTCCGTCGGTGTAGCGCCTGCTTTTCTGTCGTTGCCGTACGTGGTCGTAGAGTCGCTGCATTTCCCCAATAGGGTTTTTGAGGAACTCCGTGTGCGAGAGTCCTAGAATGTGCAGCCTTTTGCGCTACTTGCGACCGTGGAGCAGAAGAGCGCGAGAAAGTCGTTAGTGCCGTGGGATGTACACCGGTAAATGAAAGGATACTCCAGGACAGCGGCTTGCAGCGATCAGCTTTCGAGTGCAGCGCACTGTACATAGAACTTGAATGTGCGATTAAATCTTTCCACTTGTCCACTGGCTTGCGGGTTGTAGTTTGAGACTAGCTGGTGCTTTATATCGCGATAGGCCAAAAACTTCATGAACTATTCGGAAATAAACTTGGGCCCGTTGTCAATAAACGACACTGTCTGAATACCCCTCGCGTGTAAAGACTATGCAGAAAATTTGTCACAGTCTTTGTGGTGACGTTAGGCTAGAACTGTACCTCCGCCACTTGGAGAAGTAATCAACCATCGTGGTCACGTAGAGCAAAGCCGGTGGTGCTCTCTCAAAAGGACCAACAATATCGATACCGACGTTTCATCACGGCATTCAGGCAGTGAGACTGGTTGAAAGGGTGTCGGCGATGTCTTTGCGCTATTGACAGCTCTTCTGCAAACACTGTATGCTCGGCGCAATTTAATAGTGTGACAGGTGGTGGCACTGTTTTTCCGTTCCTGGCGAATCGCTGAGTGAGCATACGTCTGCATTCATGCGTGGCCACCAGTGGAGACCACGAATATGAGTTTGCATCCTGATGATGCCAGGGATACCTTCGTGCGCTCGCGAGATCAGTGTTTTTTTTTCATGCTTGCAGGAACTACGAACTGATCACCCCGCAGCAGTAGATTATCGTACACAGAGAGTGTCTTTGATGCTGCAGAAAATGGCTTCGTCAGAAGACGGCTCCTTCAAGGTGGCTATTCCGAGGTGATAACGGACATCACGGCAGTCAGTTTGGGGTCGTCAGCTGTCCCCTGTTGAAGCTGAGCATTTGTGATGCATTCGTCGTCCAGCGCGGTGCAAGAGACGATTTCTTCGTCGAAATCTGTGGCACCTTTGTCATCTGGTACAGGAAGCCTGGAAAGGGCGTCCGCTATTTTATTTTCGCTGCCCGCTGGTATTGCACAATGAGGTCATGCTTTAGAAGGCGTGTCCACCACCCAGTGATTAGAAGTGGACGAAGTTCAGTTCCTCGCGTGCTCAGCAAGGACGCGAGAGGCTGGTAGTCATTGCGTAAGGTGAAACGGCGACCCCACAGGTAGGCGCACTTTTTCTCACACGCCCACGAACAGGCAAGGGCTTCTCACTCTCCCGTGCACTTGCGCTCAGCCGGAGTCAGTCTACGTAAAGCGGAGGCGACAGCCTGAACTTCCTTGCCGTGAAGCTGCTGCAGCACTGCTCCAAGTCTATAGATAGAAGCATCGGGGGCTGCGATGATGGGCAGGCCTGGATTGAACATCTTGAGAATATTGGCAGATGAGGGCAACCTCTTCACGCGCCAGAAGCTCTGATTCGCATCTTGGTCCCAAATGAATGGCGTGTCCTTTCGGAGGTGCCTACGCAGATGCTCCACCTCCGAAGCAAGATGAGGTGGGGAACGAGAATAATACTTGAGCATCGCGAGAAAAATCACACTTGCGTCAGACCTGTTGGAATGGGAGCAGCTTGTAGGGCATCCACCTTTTGCTGCAAAGGAGCGATTCCGGCTCCACTAATTTGTGTCCCAGAAAAGAAAGTTCTGTGACGCCGAAGGCACACATGTTGTTCAGCGTCAGGCTCACGTCAGAAATGCTTTGGAGCATTTCCCGCAGACGTTCCAGATGTTCTTGTGGTGTCCTGTCGAACACGACGACGTTGTCAAGGTAAAACAAGACGCCTTGACACCCATGCAGGATCTTGGACATCCTATGTTGAAAGTTTGCTGGTGCGGAGGCCGAGCCGAAACATACTCTCTTAAAGTAAAACAGCTTTTCGTGTGTGATGAACGCTGTTATATCACGACTGTTCGGATGGAATGGCACTTGATGAAGACTTGCAGCAAAGTGCAATGTTGAAAAGTGATGTGTGCCGTGAAGCGCGCTCACTAGCTCTTCGATGAGTGGAAGGGGGTAACTGTCAATAACCACCGCTTTCTGGCCATCGGAGGTCAACGCACATCTGAATGGTACCGTCCTTCTTTTGGACTACCACAATAGGTGACAGCCATAATTAGGCATTGAAGCGTTCAATGACCCCTTCTTCTTCGATTAATCTCTCCCGAAACGGGTTGGTGCGATGCTTATGGAATTCGCCTCATGCGATGCTTGACACGTGGAACTAAAGGACGAGTCCTCACCTTGCACTCGACTCCCTTGACTCTACCCAGGCCAGGGGTGAACAGGTAATCGAAGTGCCCGAGACGCGGAGAAAGCATCGGCTGGAAAGAAAGAAGCATGCTTTGCCGGCGCAGCTGCAGCAGGTGGCTAACTGTCGCTGGTGCTTGCGGCTGTAGACGAGCCGCCCCCTCTTCCTCCAGCGCTGCCGAAAAGTTATCCGTTGGTAACGTTACGCTTGTTGATCATAGTGACAATTCTGGTTGCAGAATTTCTATAACATCGTCAGCCTGCGTTTGTAACAAAGAACGCTCTGGTAGGCTTAATAACGGTTCGTCAGGTTCGTCCACCTCCGTGTAAAAACACGTTCTAGTTGCTCCACTCATTTGGATGTTCAGTGCTACTACAGCGTCTACGCAAAGTAGCGACGTGATTCTCTCTGCGATGTAGAACAGGACTTGTGCCTGTCGCCTCTTGAACGTTACTGTAGCCATGAAGGCACCCAGGTCGTCGATGGGTTCGCGAGAAAATTTAACAGTGTGACAGGTGGTGGCACTGTTTTTCCGTTCCTGGCGAATCGCTGAGTGAAGGTGTACTTGTACATTATAGAGACGGACGATCTCGTATCTAACACGAACGACAGCGTCGTCCCAAACACTTCTACTCTGATAAAAGACTCGCCTTTAGAGGCTTCTGTTCTGTGATTTACGAGCCCTGGTTCGCCCTCGTCGTCGTCGAAAGCTGATCACATTTGTTCAACTTGCTCGCGCTATTGCCACTGAGCGTGAGCTCGGCGCACACTTCTGAATACATCGCCGAAATGGCCACGACGGCCACAGTTGGTGAAGTGAAGGTTCCGTGCTAGGCAAGTGGCAAGTTTCCCAACCCTGACCGCAATTGTAGCAAGTGCACCTATGATTTTTTGTGTAGTCCCTCCGGGGAGACTGGTGTCTCGCGAAGTCTTGCCGCGAACAGATTGATGGTGTGAACTGGACCACTCTGCGGTACGACGACTGTATACAACCTGGATTTCCAACTCCAGAAACTTGGTCGCGGCCGATACCGCCACAGGCTGTAAAGGACGGAGCAGCTGATGAAAATCTGCCACGCATGTTCCGGAAGGACGATCTTCGCCTATCTGCATGCTGATGCCCGGAAGGAGGACGACGGCTGAAACGGCGCTGAGCCTCTCGAGGTGGCTCATATTTTGAAGGCGGCAGAGTTAGTTACCATAAATCGTCTTATCTTGCCGGTGATCTTGCTTCAAATACCCTATTTCTGGTGGTGACCTGGCTAGTCGCTTGAGGGTTCGCGGTCGGTGTTGTTAGTGACGCCCACTGTCGCACCTCAGGTCGTGAGCGTTCAAGGTTCAGAACTGTTCGAATGATCACGTCAAATGGAATGCGGCATTCAGAACCATACGGTCTTGAATGTCGGTCAACGCGACGCATATAGACGCTTTTCACACGCGCCAAATTGCAGCCGCCATTGCTGACCTTCTCTTGTCCTACCGAGATGCCGAGCAACTGAAACGGTAGCTGACGATCCTCTACAAAGGCCGATGCTTTAGAAAAGGACACAGTTGAATCTAATATGGCAATAACCTTGCCTGCTATGGTAATGATGAAGTGAAATAAACGAAATAAGTGGAAACAAAAACTGAAGGTCAGTTATGACGGCGTCCATATACAGTTGCTGAAAAGCGTCTATAATAAACTGCTTCCGAACCTGCTCTTGGGTTTGGTTCCAAAAGGTGGCCAGGATCGCGAGTGCTTGAAGCACCGACAGGAAGTCTTTGAGCGACCCACCCGCTTGTTGTTTCCGGAAGTGGCACTGAAGCTGGTGCGGAGTTACGTTCGTGGGTTGCGTGAACTCAACTTCCAGAAGCTTTACAGTGTCTGGGTAAACGTCTGTCGCAGGTTGACGGACAGCATCTTCGCCGCTTGCTGCTGCCGACGTTGCTGTCATCTGTTCAACAGCAAGCTGTAGCCATGGGGGTCGAACATTTGTTGACCAGCCTCACCGAGACATTTGAGTACCAGAGCTTGGCGACCTTCTGCGTCGTAGTCTCACGTTTCGGTGGCCATCAGATATCAGTCAAACATCTGAATCTGTTCCCGTGAAACGGGCGGAGGACCCAGCTTTGTCTAGAACTCCTGAGGAAGTCATATACCGGACGTCATTGTTGAAATGGCTTTGAGTGGAGGCCGTTCTCTTCAGCCGCCATCTTGATTGTTGCTGGGGCGAATGAAAGCTGGGGCCCTATGTTGCGCTTTTTGAACTCCCACGCCGACTAGGCAGAAGGAAGCGACGTCAACAACCAAGCAAACGCAGATTGGATGCTGACTGGTGAGAGTCGCTGATTACGAATTCCCGCAGAAGAAAACAAAGCTCATTTTTTCTTTGTTTTTTACTGCGGAAATTCGTCACAGCGACTCTCACCAATCGACATCCAATCTACGTTTGCTGCGTTGTTGACGTCACTTCCTTCTCCCTGGTCGCCATAGGAGTCCAAAAAGCACAACATAGGGCCTCTGGTCTAATTATAGCCTCCTTTATACTGAAAATGACTGCCAAATGGTTGCTTTGTCTTCGTCACGCTTACTTCACATATTTGCGACTAAAGACGCACGAAACCTCATACAAAAATGCAGACGACGTTTGCCCGCTGTCTGCTGCTACAGTTCACTGTACCTAGCGTAAGCTACGTTATCACGTTAAGGATAGCGTAAGTTTTCCATGTTAGGTGACGCGGTAACGTGATCTTACGCGATCAAATAGGTCACTTGATCACGTAACTACTGCCTCCAATGTGGAGTACATCCGCTACCTACTGACGGAACAAAATTTCAGGTTCGTCTTGACGCGGAAATTCTCTTCTGAATCCATAGAATCGTTATTTGGGTGGCTTCAAAAGGTCTGTTGGCAGCAACGACCAGATGGACATGAGGGCTGCCATTTCTCGCCTGGAGAGAATAATGAAGACAGGGATAATCTCTGCCACCAAGGAAAGCAACGTGGCGCACTCGTCGAGCTGTCAAACACTCCCTCTATCTGGAAGCAAGAGCGCAGGGCAGGACGAAGCAAATCCTTTCCCCAAGGAAGCAAAGACTGTCCTTGAAGCTGACTTGACGTGAACACACTTCTTCCTTCCCACCCCGGAGACATCGGCCATATCTATGGTAGGTGGATACTTGGCACGGGAGTGAAGGAACATGTCAACTGCAGTGACTGCTTCCTACTGGTCACTAAGCAGGCTTCTTTGGCTCCCAGTAATTCCATCATCAGGCACCAGGACAGTGGAGGTCTATATTATCCATCAAAGAAGCTAGTGAGGGTGTGTATGCGCTGAAGAACTCCGTAGATGTTTTACTGAAAAAACAAGGTATGCTGAAAAAGACTTTGCATGCAGCTATTGACACTGCGGTGGATACACTTATGCACCATGGGGCCTTGAAAAACGCAAAGGCAGAGAAAGATGTCAATCATTACAAAAATTGCCTCCAACTCCTACGTACTAAGTATTTCAGGCCAATTTTCACAAACTACTCCGAACCCGTGACTGACAGGCATGACCTCAAAAAGATCTGCTTCAACGAGCCGCTATCTGTGTAATAGAAAACTGAGCTTCTTTAGGAACAGTTGTAATAACGTATATTGGTACAAACTCGACCATCCTGCTCCTTTAACTGTCCTCAGTTAACGTACTTCTTTGACCACACAGGTTTACGCTTTGCACGTTTTGACTGACGCAAGGTACACTGGGGACTACTTGGTTGATCCCTGTCACTTGCTTCTTCACAGCTGGAGTATGAAGGGTTAACCTTTTGTACATCACTGTCCATGCTGTTGTGGCCGTCTGGGAACTCGACTGAAGCTTTCTCTTCGGGGGCCAGTTTAAACAGCTTCAGTTGACTTGCATGGGCTATTGTCGTGTACTGGCGGTTTGTTGGATGTTCGGTAGGCATGTTGCTTACGCGGCTGGTATCCAATGGAAGTACCTCCACAACTGTGTAGGGTCCTCAGTAATTAGGCTGCAGCTTGGTGGACTCTCCAGTAGAAACAGGTGCTCGTTTCACCACCACCACGTCACCTACTGCGAAGTGGAGTGCATCACGGTGTCTCTTGTCATACCGTCTAGCAGTAGCCTGAGAATCCAGAATCGCCTGCCTGGCATCCTCTCGCAGATCGTGGAAGCGGTGCTCTGTGTCAGTTGGGACCAGTTCTTGGAGGTTGGTTCCTAACGCTGGCATAAATCTATACAAAAGTTCAAATGGGGAACGGCCTCTGGTTTTGCTGACAGTGTTGTTGATGTCTGCTTGTACCTTCTGCAGATGATGGTCCCAGTCACGTGGGGTTTGGTACTGTGTTAGTGCTGCAACTGCTGGGATCAGCATTCGGTTGATCCGTTCGACTTGGCCGTTTGCCTGAGATCGCTGTGTGGAAGTCAATGTGTGCTTGATCCCTCTTGTCAGAGAGTAGTCCTCAAAGTCTCTTGAGGTAGAGCAACTTCCTCGGTCAGTTATGATCCGGCGAGGGGCACCGTAGTCGCAGATGAACTCGCCCAGGAACCTGAGCGCATACTTTGTTTCTCTGCTGGGGTATGCACGTAACCGAACAAACTTCGTGAGGTTGTCAACAAGCACCAGCAGGACGTTGTTGCGCTGTGTACTCTTCACAAAAGGCCCCAGGTGATCCATTTGGACGATTTCGAACGGTCGCACACCTGGTCCGATAGGGTTTAGCTCTCCCTGCACCTTACCACCTGGTTGCTTGAGGAACAAACATTCGATGCACTGTCGCACATGCTGCTTCACATACGCCACCATTGCGGGAAACCAGAACTCCTCGCGGATTTTAGCCACAGTCTTGTCAACAGCGAAGTGACCACCAAAGTCGTGGAACTTCACCGTGATGAACTTCCGCATACTTTGTGGGAGCGCGAAAAGCTTCTGTGGGCTTGTTCCGCTTTGGAGCTGGTAGTACAAGATTCCCTGGCGCGCCTCGAAATTGTGCACTTGACATCTTTCCGACGAGGTACGCTCACTTGTAGGTTTGTGCAGTATCTCAAGTAGAGTTCTCATCTCTGCGTCTTGTGCCTGAATCATAGTCACTTTCTCTTCAACGGGTACTGTGTAGTAGACAGGTGTGATGCACAGTTCTGGACTTTTGTCCTCATCGCCATCTGCTGTTAGCCCGCGCTCATCACTTGGGGCACCGCTAAGCGCATCCACATGCTCCATTTGAGTTCCTGGTCTGTGCCGTATGACATAGTCATAGTCACACAGTTCTTCGAACCAGCGGGCCATCTGAGGTTTCACAGATTTCCATGCGTTTAGGCACAGCGTGGCATTGCAGTCTGTGACGACAGTGAACTTCACTCCTAGCAGGAGACAGCCTAGCCGTCCCACTGACCACACAACTGCCGAAAATTCCAGTCGGCTGGAGTGATACTTCTGTTCCGTCCCACTTGTACTGCGGCTAACGCAGTACACCAGTTTTCAAGAACCTGTATCCGCCTTTTGCAGGAGCATGCCTGCAAGTCCCTTGTTTCTTGCATCAGTGTGAAGCTCGGTCTTCTTACGGTGATCATATAATGCCAGTACGGGAGCTGACACCAGCTTCTCCTTAAGCTTGGTGAAGACTTTATCTGCCTCTGGGCACCACTCAAAAACTGCTGCGGCTTTTAGCAGCCTATGCAGGGGTGCGGCGACGCTTGCATGTTGCGGTACAAACTTTCGAAAGAAGCTCACGAGCCCCAACAAACGTCGAAGTTCGGTCGCACTGGTCGGCCTGGGCATGTCGATGATCGCCGAGAGTTTTCTGCTTCCTGGTCGAATCGCCTGAGGTGTCAACACGACTCCCAAGTACTCGACTTCTGTCTTCCCAAACTCACACTTAAACAGTCTCAGAGTAAGACCGGCCTTGCAAATTGTGTCCAACACCTGCTGTAGCTTAACCAGCATCTCTGCCCAGTCCTTGGCGGGTACCAAGATGTCATCTAGGTAGCAGGTTGCTACATTCCAGCCTAGTGGTCCTAGCACCATTAAGATCATTCGCTGATAAACAAGAGGTCCGTTAGCCAGCCCAAACAATAGACGCAGGGGCTCGAAATGTCCCTCTGGAATTGTGAAAGCAGCCTTGTGGATGGACGATTCATCCATGGAAATTGTGGAAGTAACGGTGGGCCGTGTCTAGAACACTAAAGAGAGTGTTTCCAGCGAGCCGGTCCAATACTTCATCAACCCGTGGCAGTGGAAAGCTGTCCTTCACGGTTTGGGCCTTTAGGCGACTGTAGTCGACTACCATACGATATTCACCAGTCTGTTTCTTCACCAAGAGAACAGGGCTACTGTACTCCAAGTTGCTGTCGCGGATGAGACCATTAGCCTGGAGGTCGTCTGTAATCTTGCGCAGAATCTTGCGTTCACTCCACGACGCACGGTACGGCGGCCTTTTAACAGGCGCACTTCCAGGCTTTTCTTCGATTTTCATCGTAACCACATCTGTACGTCCCAGTTCAGTCACGTTCTGTACGAAACATGTTCGGTGCTCATTGATGACTAGGCACAGCTCACGTCTCTCGTCTTCGGTTATGGTGGGACCAACATTGACCTCTTCTGCTCATATCGGTGCGAGTCTCTTCTCCCGTTTTCCAGGCTCGCTTTTGATGACCTGCTGCAGCGCGCTGTATACATCAGATACGTCAGGATTCATCGGTGAAGACTGGCATTGTGACACGGCTTGTCCCCTCTTCAGAGTGACGTCGCAGTCGACAGCACCAACGACGGGGATGTCTGTCTTACCTCCTCTCATTTCGCAGAGAATATCGATTTCCCCACCCGTTGATAGGACGTGTGGTCTCTCCGTTGTCTCATTCGCAGTCGTAATTGTGACCCACTGAATGCAGTTTTTTGGGACTGTCACAGTCTCTGATGCTCGAAGCACTACTCTGTGGTCGTCCATCCCCACGTGAAAATTTCGTAGAAATGGATAGCGACGCTCATCCCCCAGTGAAGTTTGTCTATGCTTCCTGATCAATACAAGGTGAGTGTGGTCAATGATGTCAGTGCCTATAATCACGTCGGGTCCAGTGAAAACGTTGTCTCCGACAACGCGCGTTGTGATCTCATCCACCTCGTGCTCATCGCAGCGAATCTTGACACGCACCTGGCCCAGTGACATGCACTCACCGTCCACTCCTCTTAGTACTTCTGTGTTGCCTTGAATTTCTTTACTGAGACGCTTGGCACACTGCGCCTTCATGAGACTCACTTTTGCTTCGGTGTCCAGAAGAGCAATCACTGGTTCTCCCTCGATTTCAACCTGCTTGAAGCTTTCCGACGAACAGGTCTTGTTTTCACAACGCACTGTGATCACTTGTGGTGCATCCGACTCACGTTTGGGGAAGTTCCTCGTATCATGGCCCTCTCCTCCGCACCTCGTGCTCGCTCGTGGTCGAGGGGGTTTGTCACAAATCTTCCCGTAGTGTCAAAGCTTTTGGCAATTGTAGCACTTGACGCCGCGTGTTGTCGTTTTGTTCTGTTGCGGCACGGACGGTAGCTCTGCTGACTGCTTGGGTCTCGAGGTTCCAGTTGACGCGAAATTCGCATCTCGGTTCTTCTCGGAGTGCGCGTAGCTTTTTATGTCACGCAGGAGGTCGTTCACAGAGTGGTGTGTTCGATTCCGCATAGCGTAACTCAGCTCTCTCGAGAGTAGTCCTGTGATGATCTCTTCCTTCGTTTCGTCCACATTAAGCCCGAGACGAACGCAGAATTTTTCTTTCTCGCGAACGTATGTTTTATGACACTCGCCTTTCCTCCGGACTCGTTGCTGCATGATCCGCCACCGTTTCGTTTTGGTAGATGGGCGCATGAACACTTCCCGAAACGCGGCCTCCCAGGCAGACCAGGCTTTGCATGCCATACCCGTGGACTTCTGCCAATCGCGCGCGGGTCCCGACAACTTGAGCTTCGCCACAGTGATTTTCTCGTCGTCGTTCTATCTTGCCGACTAGGCAACCTGGATGAATTCCGTGATCCACTCGTTGGCCACGATATCACCCTCAAGTCCCGTGAACTTGGAAACCGCTGCCAACGTATCCGGAGCCACCCGCAAGGCGACGTCTGAAGGCGCTGGTCGACTCATCTGCGACAGCGTCAGGCGTTCGATGAGTTCTTGATTCTGGCGAAACACTTGAACCATCATTTCGATCACGGCCGGAGCATTGTCCCGAACTGACGGGTCGGGCTTGACGTCCTTCCTCGACATCATAGGTCACTCGTGGTCTCACTGCGTTACACGTGGTTCGCAGTTAGGCTTCGCAGCGTTGTTGTTGACGACCCACCGGAACTCGTCGCCAATCGATGTAAGCGGTAGTTGCATCCCACTTCTGGTTGTAATAGAAAACTGAGTTTATTTTAGGAACAGTTGTAACAACGTATATTGGTACAAACTCGGAAACTTGGGTGCGAGCCGGATGCCCATCCGACCGCCTCGAAGGTATCGGTAAACACACTATGGCGGATACTCAAAGGCCGTGATGTCCATCAGGCTAATGCTGACGCTAACACTAGGGAGTCCCCTAAAGCTCTAGAATTGCATACGTGAAAAACAGTGCGGACCAGAAGAACCCAATCAAAAACATCAAGGAGCTGTGCGCTTAAAAAAAACAAATTGAAATGTATTTTAATATGCCCGGTCAGAGTGCTGCCGACGGGTGCGCAGGTTTTCGGTCAGCAGGGCCTCGTTCGCGGTACTGAGAAAAACCACTTGACTGCTGCATGTGGTCCGCGGGCCATATCTTTTTGCGGCTCTGCTCCAGAAGCAGTAAAAACACTAAGTGGCCGCTGTTTCAACATCGTGAAAGTCCGCCAACCTGTCTGTCTCCTTTTTAATTAGCATTGACTATTTCTGTTATCGCTATGACAAGCGCCAGACGTCTGGTAACATTTTAACAGAGACACAA